TTTTTGAAATGTTAAAATGTTTATTGTTTCTAACTTAATCTTATTTTTTTAAATTCTAAACTAGACATTTACAGTTAGANGGTTCAGGGACTACTACACCTTCTCCAGCTGGAGCACAGATTTCAACGCCCCCTTATTCTAGTGTTAGGGTTGTGTAGAGAAACAAACAGATGTAATTTCATGACAAATATTTCTTTTCTGAACTTCTGACACCTCTAACTGACACTAGATTCCTCATTCAGCCATTTCTTTCTTCCTATTTTGCTTCCTACTCTTCTTTTCCTATTCTGTTTCCTACTCCTCCACTCCTTTTCCATTCTGCAGTATTTTCTACTTCTCCACAAACTTTTCCTTTTCCTACTCCTTCCTTTTTTCCCTTTTAGGTTTCCTACTCCTTTCTTTTTTTCCTTATTTGTTTCCTACTGCTTTCTTCTTTTCCTTTGTAGTTTCCTACTTTTTTCTTTTTTTCCTAATTTGTTTCCTGCTCTTTTCTCCTTTTCCTTTTTAGTTTCCTGCTCCTTTCTTCTTTTCCTTTTTAGTTTCCTACTCCTTTCTTTTTTTCCTTTTTAGTTTTCTGCTCCTTTATTTTTTTCCTTATTTGTTTCCTAATCCTTTCTTCTTTTCCTTTTTAGTTTCCTGCTCCTTTCTTCATTCCTTTTTAACTTTCCTGCTCCTTTTTTCCTCTTTAGTTTCCTGCTCCTTTCTTTATTTCTTTTAGTTTCCTACTCATTTCTCCTTTTCCTTTTTAGTTTTCTGCTCCTTTCTTCTTTTTCTTTTTAGTTTCCTGCTCCTTTCTTTATTTCTTTTTAACTTTCCTGCTCCTTTTTTCCTCTTTAGTTTCCTGCTCCTTTCTTTATTTCTTTTAGTTTCCTACTCATTTCTCCTTTTACTTTTAGTTTTCTACTCCTCCTTTTTTTCCTTTTTAATTTCCTACTCCTTTCATTTTTTCTATTCATCCTTCTTCGGTTTCAATCGTTCATAACTCACTTATAGTTCTCTTCTTTTTAAAATCGTATTAATAAATAGCTTAGATAGGAAAAGTTTTGAGTTATTCCAAATCTTAAATTTGCAAATAGTCCCTTTCATAGCCGGAGGTTGCGGGGTTATAATTATATATATCATTATAACCCCGCAAACTTTACTTTTCGAACAAACTTAAACATAAATTATATATAATAAAAATATATATACTTCTTCAGTTAACTGAAAGGCAAAATGAAGAAAATTGTGCAATATAAAAACACAATAATAACAGAATATTAGGGATATCTCACTAATTTTCATATTCTGTTCGTAATTTCCTACAAAATTTTAGTCATTTCGAAACTAGCGAATAGTAAATAATTACATTACAATTATTGCGTCTGTTTTAAGTCTCAAGTTAAAATTATTTTTCTAGATGTTAGTTTCACTATTTCACATTTTGAAAAGCCCGGATTATGAAACTAACAAATCATAAGTCAACCTATAATTACAAACTTAATGATAGATTGATATATGAAAAAACCTGGAAAGTAAACAACGAAAGATAGATAGATAGATAGATTACAAGTTATTTTAGTTTTCAACATATAACAGTGTCGCAGTTTATGAGCTTCATCCAATCAGAACGAAACCAATTCAAGATATAATTTTCAAACTATTTGGATAAATAAAAACATCCAGCTGATCATAATTTCTAGATAATATTTGTTTCATGAACCTACAGGGTTACTCACAAAAAATAAGACTTGAGAGACAACTGGACTGAATTCTCTTAAACTATAAACTTCTTGCGTTCTTTCTCCAATCATTAATGAAACCAGAAAAAAAAGGTGTATTTAAGGAGGAAGACTAAATATAACATTAGGATCGTCATATTTAAAGAGTTTCAGGTCGTCTTTACATACTCCTTTGTGGGTAACCCAGGGAATAAGAATAAAGGGAAGGGAAATGGCACTGGTCTGGCATGAGAAAGCCAGTCGCACTGCTTTTCAGACGAGTTCGTTATTACACACGCACACTCTTTTGGTACAGACGCACAACATGACTATAGTCAAGGAAATTGCAGAACAATGTCGTAAATTATAATTAAGCTTGAATAACGAGTAGTTTATTCAAATCATAAACTTTAATCAAATTATATTCTTTGCCTGAAAATTTGGCTTATAGTGTTGACTTAAATATTTGAATAATATATTACATGTACTCGCCTAGACTGAACAAATACCGAGATTCCTATGTACTGTATATACCTACAGTACACGCCTTCGGTTCGTTATCACTTACACGTACATCACTTCAATCAAGAATGTAAGGCAAGGAAAGTTTATTGCGGCCGTGTATACTCTGCGTACATATTGAAACCAGTTCTCTTTGGGCGGAATTTGTAAACAAGAACAGATGCATCAGTGTTCGTTTAGTATCCGAGGAGGTAAAAAGCATTAAATTTTGAAAATTTTGATAATTCACATAATAGTTTCCTATGACCAGAATATTTCATCGATTTTTTATGTGAAAGATGGATCCCATTTCAGGCTTCGACATCCGTCTTGTGTCTACATTACCGCCCAGAGACAGTACACTGCAGTACAAAAGATGTGTACACTTTTGAAATAACTTTCCTTGCCTTACAATCCTTGAGCATACATGTAGGATAAGAAAACACACTCTTTTGGTACAGACGCACATACATGACGTTTCAGCCCTCTGGGGTAACCCATTATCTTATCTCTTTTTATTTTATTATATATCTTTTTTTTATTGGTTCAGCAAGAGTTTTCCTGTTTAATTTACTCTAAGATTAATTCTGCCATCATGCTCTAGGAGTTTAAAATATTTTATATTCGTTTATCTCTTCCATTAAAATGAAGTAACTTGGCAAAGGCGTTTTTGATGCAAATAAATTGTGCAAAAATTCACGAATTTAGCAACATATGTGACGGTGACCCGTAGAAAATACATTTTCCTAGTATTGCAATCCTGCCACGTCAAACTAACCGCAACTGCACTGTTTAGGCATATTTTTATAATTTTTCTTATCGAAATCCGTCAAAATATGTTTTGGAAACCTTATGTACTAAAACATTTAAAAAACGTAACATTACATAAAAATGTAAACTAGCAAATACAAAAAATCTACTTTTAATGGGTGGACTTTTAACTAGGACATATAGTTTGCTGTGCTGCATGTATAAGAAATATTAACTCTATATTTAACAAAAATCTTAATAATATAATTGATTTGACATTGCAAAAATTAAGATAAAACAAGGAAAAATACATTATTTTCCTTGTAAGAAACCATGATCCCCGTACGTGAGAACAAAAACTTAAAAAATATTCGAATTCTCAGAACAAAACATAATTTCTCTCAGATCACATAGAGATTGAACGAGAAATAGTTTGTCTCCCTGGATCCGGATCTAAGTGAAAATAAACCAAAATTTTGAAAAAGAAAATTTGTTTTTTAAATAACGAGCTCTCATCTATCAAAACATGCCCAAGGTACTAAAACAAGGAAAGTTAATTACGGTGGCGTACACTCTGCGTACATAGAGAAATCAGTTCTCTCTGGGCGGACTTAGTAAACAAGAATAGATGCTTCAGTGTTCGGTTAGTATCCGAGGTTGTTAAAAGCATTTAATTTTGATAATTTGGAAAATTCACATAATATGTGACCGCAGAATATTTCATAGATTTTTTTGTGAAAATGGATTCGATGTCGAAGGCTGTGACATTCGTCTTGTGTTTACTTTTCCGCCCATAGACAGTACACTGCAGTACAAAAGATGCGTATACCTCTGAAATAACTTTCCTTGCATTAGTACCTTGAACATGCCTATTTTGTTAGAAAAATGTTTACATAACGTCTACAATGTATTTTCCTTAAATACAAATTTACACCATATCTATGTATATAACGCTAAAATGAGCTTTTAGGTTTATCAGAAACATCTTGAGAAAACATATGATATATGACTCATGAAAGCTTACGTAACTGTAAATTTTTTCTTTTGCATAATTTATGTTGAGATCTTGATTCAGAATATTTAGATAGTAATAAATATAATGTCGGAATATGGGCCCTCAGATCGGTAAATAGCTTTTTAAATTTAACAGTTTAATAGAGGGGGGTCACGATTAAATAAAAAGCATAATTTCAAGAATGGAAAATGATCTGTAATAATAAAATAAGTTTTCTGAAAGAAGTATTCTCCTAAGTCCAGGAAGTTTCTTGGGCAAGGGCAGATAAGCTAAAATGGTTTCATTCTAACACTTTCGAATAAGAACGGCAAACCAATCTTGTTTAATGGGAAAGGAAACTTTGAAATTTTTTTCAAGATCATCGAATAGGCAAAATTTCTTGCGATTTCTTTCGTGTAAAACCATTTATTAAAAATATAATTTTGTATTTTATTATGATCATAATGATGTATGTAGTTTCTATAATTATAGAACCTATGTACATTAGCAGCTTTTGACCAATTCGTTTTTAATATTCATGTTTAAAGCAATTGTATCTGTAGCACCCACTTATAAATATAAAAGAGATATTTAGTGCTTTAACTCTATAGTATACATATTCTAATTTGATTTTCATGACAAATCAAAACTTTAGGTTATTGATCAATCATTTCTCTATAGCTAAGCCGGTTAACTGGAGAAACTCTTAATACAGAATTTAACGTCAGGTATATAAAAATATATATATATTTATGGTGTTACGTTTATTCCCAAAGGGCATTTTACCAAGTGGAAACTTTTCAAATGTGAAATTTCCCAAGCGGAAACTTCACAAAGGTTATGCAAAGCCTTGCGCTGTGGCTAGGATCGGGGGCCGAGCGCTGCGGTTAGAATAGACTTGAGAAAGTACCTAACATCATATTTATTAACTTGAAGCAATTATTGCAAAAATTACGCCCCTAATTGTTTTAAAGGGACACAGAAGTGATAGTTGTAGCTATACTAGCAGATGTACTTTTAAACCAGGTATTGATTTAATAGTACACTGGATAGTTGTAGCTATACTAGCAGATGTACTTTTAAACCAGGTATTGATTTAATAGTACACTGGATAGTTGTAGCTATACTAGCAGATGTACTTTTAAACCAGGTATTGATTTAATAGTACACTGGATAGTTGTAGCTATACTAGCAGATGTACTTTTAAACCAGGTATTGATTTAATAGTACACTGGATAGTTGTAGCTATACTAGCAGATGTACTTTTAAACCAGGTATTGATTTAATAGTACACTGGATAGTTGTAGCTATACTAGCAGATGTACTTTTAAACCAGGTATTGATTTAATAGTACACTGAAATGAAAATTTATCCAGCCACTTTAATCAACCATTTTTCTAAAACTTTATCACATTTGGCATTTTAAGAATTACGATCATGTAGACGGATAGAAAAATTCAATATATATTTCAAAACATTTAATCTTACCAACTGACCAACAATATCTTTTTTCGTATGTCAGGATTTAAATGGAAGTTTCATAATTTACCTTTAAACTTTAGGAACAAAATAACTAAAAATCTAATCATATCTTTGAGGTTAAATTTTACTTTGAAGGAACTGGAAACCCAGATATCTGAAGAATTCAGTCCAAATATAGCCAGGTGAATAGTTATCCAAATAAATCCAAGTGATTAGTTATCCAAATATATCCAGGTGAATAGTTATCCAAATATATCCAGGTGATTAGTTATCCAAATATATCCAGAGGTTGGAAATTTTGGATCATTAATCCCTTCCGTGAGCACCAATCCATATCTTATAAAGTCCAACCCCTTTAGTAAATTTCTCTCAAAAGGTCAATATGGCAGACATTTTTTAATTAGCACAATTTCGAACAAAATTTCCCGTTCTGACCTTTTGAGGCTGTTTAGTGTTAGTATTTTGTAAATTTCTAATATTTTATTTATTGGATGCCTCTAAATGCCCTGATGATATGGTTCTGTATGTTCACCATTTTATTGAGTTTGTGGAGAAGTGTGAAGGAGGTTCAGAGCTCTCCGTGTTTGGATAAAAACGACATCAATTTTAGGTAAATAAATAAACATAGATAGCTGATGTACGCAAAATCACCCAGAATTGTACAGTCCGTGAACTCACACTTTTAGGGGTCAACTGCAGTACTTCAATGATAAGTGGGGTGGTTTGGTGCTTTAATGGATATCATGATTATAATATCACTAATGATTTAATATTTGTTCAGCATATTGAATTGATATGTAATGGAGCCGAAAATTAAATCCGTAATGCTGCAGAAAGTATTAAAAACTTTTTTTTTATAAAATTAAATATACAATGATTATCTCATATACAATTTGGGTCGGTTTCTTTGATTAGCTCAGTTTCGAAAGCATGACACAATTAGATTATATCTCTATCGAATGATTCATCACAAGATCCGTTTCGGACAGTTCTTTCCGAGTTCTCAAACTGATTTCTGGTGTTTCTATAAATATACAGTGCTAATCGAAAAGATAAGACGACTTTAAGACTGAAGATATGACTTTAAATGGTCCAATAAGCATGGTATGCAGCAATTGTACAGTTTAAACAGACCCATTTCACTTAATTAGTGATTTATTAACTTTCTAGTAAAGCTATTTGTTTTGTGACACCATCAAATACACTTAAGTATTGCTATAAAGTCGTCTTCCAATTTCAGTGTTTTCTGGTTATCACTGTATATAAAGCAGTAATCTCTGCTTGTTTATTAGGAACCCCTGGTCTGATTTGCATCAAATTTTGATTGTGAAATTCGGGAGATCCACGGGAAAGTTCTTAGATTGGTTTTGAGATTATAATTTGAGTGGATCGACTTTTTTATCGGTAAAAAATAGTTAAAATCATAATTTACGACAAAGCGCGGGTAATCGGTGGGACTAACTATGAGCCCCTGTGCAAGGCTGGGTTCCCAAGCTAGTTCTTAATAATTATTTAGATGTTCTCACATTGGCTGCGGATTAACCCATCTCGGTGTTCTCGTCAGACAACTTACAAACCAGGCTAAACTAGTAATCATGGGTAAACGATTTAGTAACATCGTCGACTTATTGGCGATCAGAGCTGAAAACTTTGAAATTGAGGATATCGAGATCAATGCTCTTTACACAAATCTGCAGATTAATTTATATCTTACTGAATGACCAGTCAGAAGCCGAGAATTTTTGCGCACAATCAATGAGAGGATTAAGCAGTTCCACAGTGAATATCGATATTTAGCATCGGGATTAAGACCGGGTATCCATTTACAATAGTTTTAAGCTCAGATTCTATTGATTTCTCATTATGCATTATTAGTCTTTTCCAAGGAATATACCATGAACCTCTCATAGCTGTTGAAAAATTGTGTACTGCAGTCTCTGGAGGAATATACTGTTTTAACTAAATATGAATATAAATTAAAACAGCCCTGAGTTTGTTTTAATTCCTCCCAGAAATTGTTGTATCTACTCTTTATTTGTAAACACAGCTATGAGAGTTACTGTAATTCCGAGGCAACTCAGTAATCAGTAAAAAATTTTACGTTTCTTAAGTTTTTTTTCAATTTCTTATTTTCAAAATTTCTGGTTTAATATATTTAAAGTGAGGCCCATAAAACTGTGCGAACTAAAGACGACGGAATTAGTTTATTATTTTAAATAACCATGGGCAGAGTACATACAGATTCCACTTATTAAGTTGATTTTTTAAAATTCTTCATAGTACTTTGTGAAAATTAGATATGGGATCGAAATTTATGAATTGAAGATGACACTGAACGCTGGTTCAAATTCTGAATCACCGATTCAATTCCTCATGAATCTTTAGCAACCTAGCTCAAATATTAATTAATTCGGTCCTTGGCAAAAGTAATTCTGACCAGTGTAACTTATGGCAAACATTGTGGCAAATGTAACTGAGCCAAACTTAGCCCATAAAACACACATAAGATTGCTTAAAAGTCGTCTTTCTATTCCACATTTTTATTGGCCCTGCTGTATATATATATTGCAGGAATAATTTTTTGTTAATTTTAAATAAAGTTACAGAGGTAACCTGAACACAGTGTAATAACTGTCATCTTTTTTCTTCCTTAAATTATAAAATGTGGCTGAAGGCTATGAAATTTATTTTAATTTATGGTAAATTTGTTTAGACAAATATCAGTTTTAAGTCTTCCAAAATTCTTGGCGACATTTCTTAACATATGAAAGAACGAAGACGACAATCATTACACAGTTTATTTGGTAACTACTTTATAAACAGGTTGGTTCCTGGTTCTAGTGAGATGGGTCACTTCTTTTTATACAACTTCCGGCTGGGGTTCAGGGTATTGATATAAAACATATTTGAAAAAATGTCGAATTTTAATAACCTTTTAAAATTTTTCCATATTTCAGGGATATATTGAACTATGTCGAGGCGGTGTATCGAGGAGCAAGGTTGACCAGAGTTGAGACTAATCTAATTCTAGAGAAAATTTTCTCCAGGATAGAAGAAATATACAGCTCAATACAAACTCTCCAACCGTCCTAATTATCATTTTCTAAAATTGATAAATTCTTATTAATCATTGTTATGTAAAAGCAAGATTTTTTGAAAGAATAAATATATATATATTTGGGGATCTTCAGAAAGTCCCGCATTTCATAATTACTAAAATCGGTAGTGAAATATTTGGCGTTTAGGGTTTAATAGAATTTTCCTATGGACATTTCTTCGATAATTCTTAAATTTTTTGAATTGTGGAAAGTTGTGAAAAAAAGAAGAATAATAAAATATGTTATCCGAGAAATCCAGGAGTGGGAAAACAATCTGATTCAGATAGAATTTCTTCCCCAAAACTAGCCTAGAAGAATTTATTTTGACTGAATTCTCCCCCCCCCCCCTCCCCAAAGTTTCCTAGAAATACAGAATCGGGATGAGACTTCAGCATGAATTTGTTTCCTCGCAACAAACTGGGAAAATCAAAAAGTCGAAAAACGAGAAATAAAATGAATTCCCTTTCCCGAAACGCGCGCTACCAAACAGGGGAGAAAAATCGACTTACTTTATAACAGGGGGGGGGGGTTGTAATAATGTGGAAAAAGTTTAATTAAAATGGTGAAGAATTATTAATAATTACATCATTTCTTACGAATTAAATTTGTTTAATTTATCAAAGTTTTTTCAGGCAAAAACAAATAATCTTTGCACTAAACGCAAAGTTCAATAATTTCTTGTAATAAATTAACAAAATTCAAATGAATAAACAATTGTTAAATAATTATTAAACAACGAATAAGCCACAATACATCGTAATGTTCCTTTTTAAATAACCTAAAGCTGGAAAAACACGACTGTGAAGTTTAAAACACCTATAAATTGTACCAACTTCATTAAATATTAAAGAACTGTGCAACTGATACTAAACTGTTCTAGCTCAAGTCGCATCTAGCTGTTTGTTTGAGTAAAAAACTTGTTTTCATTAACATCTCGTGAATTTATAAATGTTTAATCTTTAAATCTAAGATATAAAGTTTCCGCAAACTATCTTCTACAGGGTGCTCCTGCATACTGGCCTGTGAAATTCTTATACAGTTGAGGGGAATATATTCTCCGTGAAAATCATCTCTCTACCCCCCTCCCTCTCTAACCCAAATATTTAACTCATCTCATTAATAAAACGTATTCCTGATTATGAGAGGATGGGTTTATATCGCGGAAAACAGTCAAAAGATTTCTCAAGGAAATGTTTATCAAAGAAAATGTAAAAAATTGTTATTTTTGGGGGGAGGAGGGGTCAATTTGGATAATTTATTAACAGGCATGGCATCAGGCAGTTTCCAAAACGCAATATTCAAAGTTTTTCATTTCTTAATAAAATGCTATTCCCAAAAATTTTCGTATAATGTTTGAAGACTTTTACTTAAAAGTATAAAATAAACTCAGCAATACAGAAAATGATAATTTATTTGATTAATAATACATGAATATTAACTACTTAGTTAAAGAACAAGACTTAGAGTATTTACATATTTATCATAAGTGTGTTAACGGTCATAACTTAAGACGGGGAAAATAATCCTTTATACAGCCTAGCTCATGGTCTAGTTAAACCAGGTCCTTCTATATCCAACCTAGCCCGGGTTAATTTTAACCAGATCCTACTTAATCCAATCCAGCTCCGGGTCTAGTTGAGGCAGATCCTACTTTATCCAACCCAAGTCCGAGTATGGTTAAAGCAGATTCTACTTTATCCAACCCAGCTCCGGAATTAGTTGTAGTAGATCATACTTTATCCAACCCAGTTCAAGGTCTAGGTAAGCAGATTCTATTTTATCCAACCCAGCTTTGGATCTAATTGAAGCAGATCATACTTTATTCAACCCAGCTCCGGGTCCAGTTGAAGCAGGTCCTAATTTATACAATCTACCCCCGAGTTCGTTTGAAGCAGGTCCTACTTTATTCAACCCAGCTACGGGTCTAGTTGAAGCAGGTCCTACTTTATCCGACCAAGCTCCGGGTCGTCTAGTTGAATACGTCCTACTTTTTCCAAACCAACTCTGGGTCTAGTAAAGACCTAACCGCTTCTCAGAGCTAAAATAAAAGGGATTACTTTCTCTGTCTATGATAATATTTATGATTAACAAAATTCAAAACTTTTCTCAAATTTAGTGTTATGTATGTTTTTAATGTAAAAGCTTTGTACACATGTTTATGGGCGGAAATCGATAAAGTTTAGGAAACAAGGAACACAGCAATTGGGTTTTACATTTGTTTACTATTAGTGCCGGTTGTAAGATTAGTTCACTCATTAAGAAATGTAGAATTTTCGACCGGAAACCCGGTTCGGAGATTGTTTTGCGAGTTTAGGGTCCATCAAATTTAACTGAGATGCACTCAATGAAAACCATGATTTTAGGTCTAATATTGCAACAGGGGTAGTATACATTTAGCTAAATTTTCACATTGCAGTCGTTTATAAATAAGTGTTTACGAAAAAGATCAAATTTAAAGCACAGCAATAAAAAACCTAATTTGAGCATCACTATTTTGTGTATTTAATATAATTGACGGTTTTGAGTTTTATATTGCAATTGATAAAAAAAATAGGTTGTGGGAAAAAGCGGTTAACTGTGGTAACTGTAAGTCTAGGCATAAAACTCTCTATTTGGAGTTTTGGTGTAAAGATTCCCATTATGCACTCGTTTAGGTTCATCCAGGATATAGGATCCTTCATCCTTCTTTCTCATTCTGTACACAATAAACATTACTAGGAGAATGGCACAGAGGAGACCAACAACAGCTCCGCCAATCACTGCGGCTAGGATACCAGGCTGGGCGAAGAACGAGACAGGGCGGTTGGTTGGAATATCACTGATTATGGGAGTATCAATATTTCTCGGTGCATCTGTTGTCTCAACAGGAACAAACGGTTCAAGGGTTGTGGTCGTTTTTTCTGTTGTTTTAGAAGTTGGTTCGTCGATGGATATTTCATCGTCGAATGGAGGATTGTCATCGAATGAAGGAACGTTTTCGGAGGCTGGAGAAGTTTCTTTCTCTTCATAATCATACTCATCATCTTCGTCCTCATTATAGTCTCCATACTCGGAGGGGTCGTCAACTCCGAAAGGATCTACAACTCCTCCGTTCACATTACTTAATGGACTCTCTGTTGTGGTTGTGGTGGTAGTTGAGACCTTTTCAGTAGTTCTAGAAGGTATCTGGGGACTGGGAATACTTGAGTAAAATCCTCCAGATCCCTCGGCCTCATTATCCCAGGGGTCCAATGGTCCAGCATCAATATCTCCGGACCCTTCCCGGAAATCTTCATCGTCGGTGAAACCGCCGACGGGATTGGAATTCACTGGCGTATAAATATTTTTATTTTTTCCTCCTTTCTCTTTCTTCTTATTATTGTTCGCCTTTCCGGGCTTCGTAACTTTAGGAGTTTTGATTGAAGAGAAATCATCAATCTTTCCACCTCCGCCTCCACCTGCTCCTCCTCCTTTCAAAAGATCTTTGTCGTCCTTATAATCATATTCTCCGTTGTAATCATAATCTTCGTCATCCTCCCAATCTTGGCCTCCGCCTGAACCCTCCGCCAATACAGGTCCCTTCTCACGCTCCGGCTCAACCCACTGCCATTCTGATCCCGTCCATTTATACTCTGCCTTGATGGACTGACAGAACACCAGGATAAGGATAATCGCTAGATGCTTCATTTTCTATCTATTTAACTATGAACAGAGTTCCAAATATCATAGTTTAGGATTCAATCTAGATCCGTGTATGTAGGATAACACCAGTCCTAGCTCTGAGTTATCATTCACTATATCTGAAAATAAAAAATAATTCATCAAATTGAGAAAACTGAAGTTGATAAAAAAAATTGAAGTTGCGTGATATAAATAATTCAATGATATAAGGAGAAATGAAAGTTTAATTTCGTTTCACTGTTTCATAAATTTTATTGTATTTCGTCAGTTTATTTCTTAACCCGATTTAAATATGGTTAATCCTCGATTAACTTAAAAAACTAGTAATATATAGCGCTTTAGAACTCTTCCAATTTATCACTATAAATAATTTAAACACTCACTGGATCGCGTCACATAAGTTCTGTTTATAATAAACTTAATTAAAGGTTTTATTGAACCACAATTAATAGATGCACGATATAGATACACTTTCATATCCTCGAAATACGGAGAAATTTGCATTTTACGCTCCAGATTTAACAAAGGTAAAAATGTTCGCCTGGTTTGGTTTGCGAGGATCCGCCATGTTTGCACAGTGAGACTAACCTGGGATATAAAATACATTACATACTGGGAACAGGAAGGGAGGATGACGCATACTGATCACGCAAACTTATTATTTCTAATTATTAGACTTTCCAATCAGAGGTGTCGGGGGCGTATGAGGGGGGCGGACACCCCTACGCGTTTTCCCTTCCCTCTGGGGGGGCACCCATATATAAAAACAATACTTTATAATATCACTTTTGCCCTTAACAGTTTCATAAAAAAGCTTTATAATCATACTTCCTTCAGTGTAAATAAATATTTGATATCATTATTTATAATGCAATGTGTATCGTTTGTATGAAAATACTGATATTTTTTAAGAAACATTCCATCTCTATTTTTCAACCTTTGAAAAAGTTGTGCCCCTTCTGAATTTGCTGAATTGTTGGGAAAAAATAGTTAAAAAGGATGAAAAACTTGTCAAATTTTTCAATTTATCCCCACATCATATAAAATTGTTTCATAAATGAGGCCCCAAAGGCAGGCTCAGCATTTGTTGTGGCCTGAAACCCCTGTGCCCTGGAAATCATTGATTTCACTGATCCAGGGGGGGGGGCTATTGGGGGTAAGCACCCCCAGGAAACATCCGACTATATTTAACCAATATGGATCAGAAGATGTTGAGTAAATCTTTTTTTGACATTGTTTTTATAATTTTTTTTATAATTAGATGTCGGATAAATAATTTTGAACTTAATATGTTTGAAATTGGCTTATTTATACAGAAATTTGTTATGCAGACAAAAATGTATTATTTATATTAAGTTAATTTATCTGCAAAATAATGCATTGAACAATGAGAAAAGGCAATTTCAGCCAAGGGCAGATTCAGGATTTAAGTGAGGGGGGGCAAGATTTTTTAGGAACTAAAAAATTCATAATTAGGAACCAAAAATTTGTGCTGCCAGGGAAAATTTTTTTTGACTTAAAAGACTCAAAAAGAGTCAAAATTAATGACTAAAGACTAAAAAACTCGATTTTTAACTGTTCACACATTATAGTTTATTAAGACAGATATTTTCCTGATTTTCACTAGGGTTTCTTTCCCTTAAGCATGCTATTGAGAAGCTATTCTAAAATAGGAACAAGAATTCCAAATTCAGGGGGGCTATGCCCCTCCCTGAATCTGTCAGGGGTGGGGCGAATGTCCCCCCGCCCCCCCTGTATCCGCCCCTGATTTTAGCCATGCTCAAATTAAAGAAAATGTAATTATCTTTCCATATATTTGCATTTCAAATCTGTTGTGCTTGTAAAAAAAAATAACGGCAATAGTTTTAAAATCATTAGGTTATAACAGAGTTTTTTTTTCTTTAAATATCTCAATAACTAGAGAGAAAATTAACGAACAGTAATTTTTTTGAGAAACAACATTTTGTGATGAAAACTTTTTTATATGTCTACTTATTAAATGTCTACTTCCATATATAAATTTGGCTTGTCTGTCTGTTTGTTTGTTTGTATCTAATAAACGTCAAAACGGCTGAACCGATCAGGCCCAAATTTTTTGTGGGACATCTAGGGACCCCAGGGAAGGTTTATGAATGATCAAAATTTCAAATATTTGTCTCCATCAAAATTCGATCTTCATTAAATTTTTGAAAATTTTGAAAATCCACGAAATGTTTTGTGAAAATCAGCGAATTATTTTTGTTTTGTTTTACGATGTACACAAAGAGAACATGTTTACAATTAATTTAGAAGATGGGAGCGAAGCGCCCTAAAAGCCTAGTCTATATATAAATTTGGCTTGTCTGTCTGTTTGCTTGTCTGTTTGTCTGTTTGTTTGTATCTGCAATAAACGTCAAAACGGCTGAACCGATCGGGCCCAAATTTTTTGTGGGACATCTAGGGACTCCAGGGAAGGTTTATGAATGATCAAAATTTTAAATATTTGTCTCCATCAAAATTCGATCTTCATTAAATTTTTTAAAATTTTGAAAATCCACGAAATTTTTTGTGAAAATCAGCGAATTATTTTTGTTTTGTTTTACGATGTACACAAAAAGAACATGTTCACAATTAATTTAAAGGCTAGTATTACTAAAAGTTTGTTGACGGATAACAGCAACACGCTAGACAAATCAGGATAATAGGCCGGTTAGGATTCTGGTGGGGGATGTTTATTATCCCCAGACAATTCTTTCCCGATAGGCCGCTCAAATACACACACAACAGAGTAACCCCGTCTCAGAAATTCGATAACAAAATCTTTGAAGACGACATTTTATAGAGGTTTTAAAATTAATGGTTAACAAAGTTATTCATAAAAAATCTCCAGCTATTCCAAGATTTGTTGATAAAAAAAATCTATAAAACAAAGCTATTTTCTCCCCAAACTTTGATTGCAAAAAAAAATACATACTATGAAAATGTTAAGGATACTATAGATCGATTACTGTGCTTAAATAATTAAATTAGTCCCGTTTTATGTAGAAATTGACAATTATAAATGGAAAATCCTTCCCGGAAGACTGTTTGGGGAAGAGTTGAACTAAAGCTAAAGCCTAAAAGTTCCGGTAAAATCAATGTTAGTACTGAACATATTTAGTGCAAATGAACAAATGAACTAAATCTAAAATTTTACTATTTGCTCACAAAATATTATTAGTAAAAATGAACATTTTTTATAGTGCAAAGGAACAAAAAAATGTTCAATCGAACTAAAATCTAAAATTTTACCATTTGCCCAGAATATAATATTAGTACAAATGAACATATTTTAGTGCAAATGAACAAAAAAAATGTTCAATGGAACTAAAATCTGAAATTTTACCATTCATACCCATAAAATATTATTGGTACAAATGAACATATTTTAGTGCAAATGAATAAAAATATGTTCAATCGAACTAAAATCTAAAATTTCACCATTTGCACATAAAATAGTATTAGTACATTAAAAAAATTAGTCTGTTTGAACAAATTTTTTGTTGAAAATGTTCATTTACATTACCGTTCAATTGCACTAATATTTACAGAAAAAAAATGAGTGCGCTTGAACAAATATTTTTAGTATTCCAGATCAATTGTACTAGTGATCATTTGTACTAATTAAAATTCCTGGCGCGAAAATAAAATATTCCGGGCGGCAAAATAAAATTTTAGTCCAATTGAACACAGAAAACCCGATTTTGGTTCATTTGCACTAATGTTCGATCGTACTAAAAACCGGTTACTGATCAGCTGACTTTAGTGCAAAAGTACGTTAGTTCAATCAGACATTGTGCAAACGATATAGCATCGACTACAACCCTAATCGAGCCCTATTTCCTCTGGCCCTTTTAACGACTGCAAAAATCTCATGAAATTCTCACGTTAATTCATAACGTTTTGGAGAAAAGAAAAGTAAAAACCAAAGATAAAAAAGAAAGTCGAGTGAATGGATAACAAAAAGATTACGATTGGAAATATTGAAGGGCGATTTTTAATTGTATGTTAGCCCACTGTGCGTTGCCGAAAGGGTTAATTTAGCTCAAGAGTAGGGAAACTAAATTAGTTTAAAAATGTTGAAAACTAAAAAATCTAAATTCACAATTGGAAATAGTAATGCATCGTAATGATTGAATAAATAATTTTTTATTTTTAAAAGAATATTTACCCTTGTTGGGCTGTGTCATTCTATTTGCGCCTCATACCGCGTTTCATTGTAAGTTTTCTAAATTACTTTTATTTAAACAAACAAACTACAGACTGCAGCTACTGCAACAGATCTATTTCCACAAGAGAAGATAGAATTAAATGTAAAAGTGAGCATTAAAGAAATGTTTTAAAATGAATAGAAATTCTGGAACAGATAATTTACTGTTACTATCGTGGTCTAACTATGACAGCGCTGTTACAACAGCATTCAATAAATATCTTGCCTCGCAGGTAATAATAATATAAACTAGATTATATTTAATGTCTTTGTTTTTATTATTTATTATTTTTTGTACGATTAATAAATCCTGCCAGGTGGAATGAAGGCTAGATTATTTATTATTTAGTAAAAAAAACGTACCTTGAGCAAACCCAAGCCCCAAACCTTGTAAACCAATTAATTCATTGGTCTAATCTAGACGTTTTGTAACGTTGTTCTGTGTGCGGAGGGGAAAACTATATCATGTCACCAGGAACTACTTTCTGCATGCTCAGACTGGTTCGAAAACATTCTCTCAACCCTTGACAAAAACCTGCGCCCCATAATAATTCTCAAGGTACGATATCTTGATAAAACTCGGGGTTCGAGTTTTATTTTATGATTAGCAGAAATTTTGGACTTTCTTTTTTCGAAACTATACAATGAGAACTGCTTATTAACATTATATTTATAAATACGTTTGTAATAATTATTATTATTATAATATGAGAAAACAAGCTTCTTGCAATACTCTAAGATAAGTATGAAAAATGTAAAGCATACAACTATTTGTAGATTTTCTATAATAGATTATTTTTTTTTGCAATTTTCAAAGTTATTGATAATTGTTTTACCTTTCTTCAAACATTGTTCTTGAAACTATTTAAATATCAAACAGATATAGTTAAAACTTATCTGATCCATAAATTGGAAGATATTCTCGTTTTTTAGGCTTAAAAGTGTTCATTTCTGATGATTCCTATTCCAGGATGTGAAGTATACCGACCTGGAGTACCTGGTCAGGTTTATTTACTCCGGAGAGGTTGTAGTACCCAGGGATCAGGTTCAGGATGTACTCAATACAGGAGAATTACTTCAGATTAAAGGTTGTTTTTTTGGATAAACTCGAACTAACACCGATTTACCGACTAAGCTTAGTTTTGTTTCATTGTCAGCATTCCTGAAATTTATTGTCTCCCCTCTCTTTCTTAGAAACCATTTTTTCCTCATCATGTTAGGAAGTCTTGCGCGGTATCTAACCATCTCAGATTTCAGTTTTTGGGATAAAATATCCTTTTGTGGAGAGAACATATAGTATGTTTTTAGGGTAAATACAGTGGGATCAGGTAAATGTTAGGTAGGAAGTCGTCATTAAAGCAATAATTAATTAAAGCAAATAGTTTTAATTGTGACTTAAAAAATCACGTAGTCAGTGAAATGGGTCGTTGACACTGCACAAATGCTGTGTCGGTTCAGTAAACTATCTAAAGTCATAACTTAAAGTCTAAAAGTCGTCTTACTATTCCAGAGCTTTCAGGTTTATACTGAAAATTGTATATTTAAAAATCCCATTTTTAAATTTATATCTTTGATACTTTGAGAATCAGAAGATTAAAAGCTGAAAAACCTAAAATTTCATGTTGTTAAAATGATTTCAATGCATATGTTCTTGTTCACATTGGTTTATTTTGTTTTAGGACTTACTGAGAAATCGGATCGGAGTAAAGATGAGCTTAAACGTGAAAATCAAACAGTTAATAATAATCGAGAAAAGAAATCTGATAAAGAAACCGTAACCTCTCCAAAATTTGAATCCGTAGAAAAACAAAATTCCGGATCAGAGAAAGACTCGGAAGAAGTAGAGAAGATGGTCTCCGAGAGGGATCTTGCATCTGAGAAACTAAAAGGAAAAACTAATTCAAATCCAACGGAGAAGAATTCTGTTCCTGGAGTAAGATCGCAGCCTGAAAGGTAAAAATGGAACTTGAAGACTCAACAACCTAATAATCAATTTATCCCTATTAAATTTTTTCTTTAGAATTATCGAGTGTTCTGGAACTTCTGACGACAGTTTGAAAATAGCAAGGAAATGATGATTATTCATGAAATAAACTACATATTGATTTCAGAACGTATACATGATTATTATTGGGGGGAGGGGGAATATATGAGCTTATAAACCCCTGATTAATTCTTATTTTTATGTATATTTTAACAGCAAACGTAATAAAATCATCGTTTAATAGAAAATCCTCTCCGACAGAACCTGGCACAAAATCTAGTTTGGTTGGTCAGAGTACTGCCGAACCCTCTCCGAAACCCGATGATAAAATTGTGTCCCCCAAACCAAAGAAACGGCGGATCTATGAGAACTCTGCCCCAGTTTATGATAACCGGCAGATATACGCCGCAGACTTATTACAAACACAGTTGGATTATTCAGGTGAGGGGCTGGCCCGCGGGGGGGGAGGTGTTAATATTTTATAAGTTATCAGCATTCACAAAATTTGAAGTATTTTTTCGGAGCTTTTTTTAACGGTATCAAAGAAATCAGTTTCTATTGAAATAATTATGCTACATAATTGTGTGTAGAAGCAGTGGCACACCAGGCTGCAAAAACGTTAAAAGTTAAATTAATTATCCCATAGGTTTTGACAAGGGGGGGTGCTTCTAAGTGGTCCCAGGTAACTCCCAGCTATCTCACCAAAATCAGAAATTAAACAATATTGATTGATTGATTAAAATCATATTTTTCTCAAAAATTTGCCATGCAGTCAGTCAAATCTCCAGTTCCAAGCAAGCTATAGAAAAAAATATTTTTAAAATTCTCAAATCAAATTTAAGAAATTCTTTTTCATACATCTAAGATGTAACTTGAATACGGAAGGTGTTAAAATGGCACAAAGTATTTTCAATGACTTTTTTAAATTTAGCAGATTTTGTGACACAATTCTGGTAGCTCCAACATTTTTTTTTGGGGTATTTGGTGAATTAATCTCTAGACCCCAGTTAGGGGCATATTGAGAATATTTATATCACTATTTTTACTCAAACAGTGTCTCCAGCATATCGTTGGTAAATGTTTTGAAACATTTTAGGATTTCTAGCGTTATTAACTTCTCCCGGCAAACTGTTACATAAATTCATTATTATTTGACTAAAAAATTGGCTCTCAACTCCAATCTAGATCGCAAGGGCATCGGATTTAGTGGATCAGCAGTTAAACGAGTTATAGTATATGTTCACCTGATCCGACTATATTAAACCATGTATTACTCTCTACATCAAAACCACGGATATACTTAAATGTTTGTTTGTAGCATGCCGATATAGATTCTTCTGTTCTCCAGGGATTCAAGTCTCAGTTCTTTAAGTTTATCTTCATAATTTCTACCTGACAGTCCAGATATCATCAATAACTCTACGTTGCACCCGTTCTAGTTTATCTTTGTCTACAGCTGTCCAGGGATCCTAAAAGTTTGTTTATATTAAGGTGATGATATAGTGCTTGAGAATGATGAAGATGGGTTTCAAGGATATGAAAGATTATCTCCGGTTTCTGGAGTAGAGGACTGTGGTCCGTTTAAGAAGGTTTGACGCTTATTCCTTATTTTGGGGAGAACATGTATTTAGGTTTCCCGTTAAAATCACAAACAGTTTAACCAAGAACTTCGGAGAAACCGAAAGAACTTATAAAATGTCGTCTTCAAAACTTCTGATAATGGACTGCTGCAGATATTTAGAATTTTTAACTGAATATTTATATGGAGCTCTTCAAAATGGTTCCCGCATATTTCACGGGTTTTTAAATTTATTTTTACAATATCTTAGATTTAGTTTAAATAGTATTGAAACCCATTGAAGACGATTAATCAAAAAACGAGCCAGTGAATAAGTTAATAAAAGTTAATAAAAGTATCTTAAATGTTAAACTATCTTTTGGTCTAATTTGTCATCCATCTTTTAAACAAATCACATCTTAAACAAAAAAAAAACAATATTAAGATTGTGAAATGTTTAGATTTGGTCGAATACGTATATTGTTTACAATCTTGGGAAAGAGATCATTTGTCTCCTTTGCTTTTGCAGGTAAAAGATCTATTGGGAAATGAGTATATATATTTTAAAATTTAACTGTTTTGAAAAACATTTTGTGGTATAAAGTGTGAAGAATTGTTAAGTTTATCTAATTTGGGGATGGGCGGTCTTTATTACATACCAAGAAAAATTATTTTTAAATGTTATAAATTGACATGGGAAAGGGTGGAGGGGGTAAATTATTTAAATCAATAATAAAAGGTTGTTTTTTATTTAAGGTTTACCCAGTTTAAAAAGTTTAATCTTGAGCGGCATATGAGGAAGAAGCACCCTGACTACTACCAACTAGACCACGAGGTTAAGAAGAAGGTTCTAGACGTGGTAAGTTCAAGATGGTTGTAACCCAGTTTTTTTCATCGGGTTTTATTGTTTTTTTATTTATTCTTTATCGGTTTCGCCAGTGAAATTTACGGGTCTGATACGGGGTTTTTATCCTTTTTTAGAGATTTATTATTTTTTTTATCGGTTTCGCCAGATCGGTCTAATGGGTCTAATTCGAGGGTTTTATCGATTTTCTAGAGATTTTTTATTTATTTTTTATCGGTTTCGCCGGAGCAGTTTAACAGGTCTAACACATGATCGTTAAGTAGTCAGAAAGGGGCTTAAGGAACTGTATGCGTAATTTCAAAGAGAAACCACAAATAAAAATAATCAGTTTCCAAAATTATAAGCATTGATATCTAATTCATATTTGATCAGACAAAGCTGATAAGGGTATCGATGTGAATCGGGCATTGCTATCTTTCTATTGAGGGTCACTTAAAATTGCTTCAAGTCCCTTTCTATCAGTTTTAAAAGAGCTTAGAATCCGGTTATCATAATTAATATATAATATAATTATAGTTGGTTGGAAGGTATGAAGAGATGGTTACTCCGGGTGTAGTGGCATCAGTACCCTGTCAAGGGAATGAAAGTATGGTTTCAGATATTCTCCAGGTACTGGTTACACACTCTTCTCTATTTACAATGTACAATAAATACTACGGAGTGATGGTTGACCATTTATTTATTTATTTATTTATTCATTCATAAAACATCGTTTATAATAGATAATTCTATATAAACATTCAGGATTTTATTTACACAATTCAGAAAAATAAAGAATTATTAGCCTGCACGGAATTCAGTGTCTTTCATTCTTGAATTTGATTCCGTTTTCAATTTACTTTTTTCCCATGCCCAGGGTTTATAAAAATGTTGTTCCCGATTTGTCCTAATTAAATTACCCTCATCCATGCAAAGAGGGGAATGTCCGATTTACAACGAAATTTTGTAAGCTTTTGACTAATCATGGAGGGCAGAGAACTTTGTGTGTTTATCTCTAAAATGGTGTTCAAGTTGCCGTAAAACCAGAGTTTTCGCTAGGGTACCCAACTCAGCTGACGTTACATATATTCCTCGAAAATCCCAAATATTCTTTGTCCAACACAGTAAAAAAAAAAAATTCTAATGTAAATATTAATCCTCCTGGAAAGTAAATATTATTATTTTTTATTTAAAACAGCTTACCAACAAAGTGCTTTAGAAATTAAAGCTTTTCTGTAGATAAATAAGAATAAGTCCGTCCACCCTAATTAGAAACGCCACGCAATGATCACTTGAAACTACATGCCTCTAAGATTGTAACTTAAGTATTTACTTTTCTAGATGGATTCAATTGAGTGGAGTTCAATACTAGGAGAAGATCTTGGTTCAAGAAGAGAGGAAGATCTTAAACCCGGAGAGGAGCCTGGTATAGACCAGGATCTAGGGATCGGAGACAAGTTTGACGATTCTTTGCTCGAGTGTCAGATCAAGCTTCAGTGCGAGGACGGAGAAATTGGGTATTTGTAAACCTGGAGATATCTCCGATCCTGATTTCTTTTTGTTCTTAAAATTAAAATTTAAAAATTTTTAAAAATAAATTTACATATTAAAAAATTTACTTTTATGTTTTGGATTTGTAAAGGCATAAAAAAATACATACTTGGTTTGCCTAGATAATATTGAGTTGCCAACCCCAAAATTTTCCCCTTCGGGTATCTACAAATAAGCTAATTTCTGGGGCGTACACAGGAGCCCCAATAGCCCCCCCCCCCCTCCTATAAGCTTCTAGCTGATTTCATACTTTAACTGAACCTACATTTATTTATTGTATTGGTTATTTGTACTACACAATGAGGCACGATTTGATGCGTTACAAAGAATGAGAATTATTTACAAAATACATATTTACTGAACAACAGTTATAAAACATGATAACGCCCATAACATAAAAGCTTGAGAAGACGCCATTATATCGAAAATGTAAGAATCCTGTCGTGTTTCTATAGAAGTAAAAATTACACTTTAAAATCGTCCTTTCATTCCAGATTTTTGTGGGACTTGATTGAAACACTGAGAACAGTTTTCCGAATTCAATGAATTTGAGCCGCGGCTTAAATCTGCCAAAAGCCGGTTTCAATTGAACGCCGGCTTAAATCTTTAAAAATTGAATAAATTTTAAGTGGAGCCAACCATATTTGAGCCGCGACTGAAATTCTTTAAATTTAGCCCCTGATTACATTACTAATTTACTAAATATGAATCATAATTAGTAACTCCTTTCTGTTTGAAAATATGACGTCTTTTCAAATTATTTGTCCTCCAAACATTAAAGGTATTTCCAAAAAGACATTATTCTTGAACCATAAGAGCAAAGTTATTTGAATCTATCATTTAAGAACATGTCAAATTAAACTTCTGGGAATGCTAGAGAGTTTTGAAGACGGATTGCTTCAGCTATTAACCTTTCCTGCTCTGCAAAATGGCGTTGAGGAAGCTGATGTTTAGGAGCTTCCTGCTGCTGTATTTTTTTCGAAGGTTGATTGAAAAACTGCTGAGTTGAAAATCCCTGCTGTGGTTGTGAAGTAAATTGTTGCTTCTGTGAACTAAGCTGTTGTTGTTGCTGTGATTTAAGCTGTTGTGATTTTGAATCAAAATGTGATTTTGAATTAAACTGTTGTGAATCAAATTGTTGTTGTGAATTAAGCTGTCGAGGATGTGAGTTTAACTGCTGTTGAGATTGTCTATTAAGTTGGTTTTGGGACTGGGAATTAAAATGTTGTTGCAACAATTCAAATGAGTGAGGGACAAAATTTTGTTGTTGATCATGTTGTGGTTTTTGTTGAACCTGCTGTGGTAGTTGTTGAACCTGTTGTTGCTGCTCTTTGGGTTGTTGATGTTGAGCCGGTTGTCGACGGCGAGGATCGAATTGTGATCTAAGTCTAGGATCGATTGTAGATTTTCTACTGCTTAGCTTTTGCTGGAAAGAAGAGGTATCATCTGAGATCTGAGGACTAAATCTATTTTGAGAGGGGAACTGTTCTTGTCTGGTACCTTGCTCAAAACCTTGTTCTTGCGCAAAAAATTCTTGTGTTCTTGGCTGTTTGTTTATTAGGTCTTGTCTGGAAGCCTGTTCTTGTATCCTAGGTTGTTCAAAGAACTGTTCTTGTGTTCTGGGTTGTTCATGTAACTTTGCTTGTATCCTAGGTTGTTCAATGAATTGTTCTTGTGTTCTAGGTTGCTCAAGGAACTGTTCTTGTATTCTAGGCTGTTTAAGGAACTGTTCTTGTGTCCTAGGTTGTTCAAGGAACTGTTCTTGTATTCTAGGTTGTTTATGGAACTGTTCTTGTATTCTAGGTTGTATAAGGAACTGTTCTTGTGTCCTAGGTTGTTCAAGGAACTGTTCTTGTATTCTAGGTTGTTTATGGAACTGTTCTTGTATTCTTGGTTGTTCAAGGAATTCTTCTTGTATTCTAGATTGTTCAATGAATTGTTCTTGTATCTGAGGTTGTTCAAGGAACTGTTCTTGTATCTGAGGTTGTTCTAGTGTCCTAGGCTGCTGTAGGAACTGTTCTTGCGTTCTTGGTTGTTGAAGTCGATCATCTCCACCCTGGTCCTCCTGTTGTTGTTGTTGAACTAATCTTTGCTGTTGAAGTTGATGAGCTCTTATATCCTCTAGTTCCCTCTCCAGTACCTTGGACAAGGTCTGAATGTCGAGAAGGATGAACATGTTAAAGGCGTGCTCCAGGAAGGACTCTGGTAAGGTGTTGAACTGGTTACTGCTGAAGACCTGGAGCTCCTGACTGAGTTCTCTGAACTTCCTATTGAACTCTGACTGCTCCTCCCTACTCAGTTTCTGCCAAGGATCTGGATCAGTGAAATCTGGTAAACCTAACCTTCTATACTCCAGCTCTTGTTCTACTGCTAGTCTCTGGTCTGGAGTTAGACCAATCTTGTCCCCTGGCTGCAGATCTAAACTCAACAGATGACCAATTAGATCTTCTCTCTGGGCAGCAGTTAATGTAGGAGCTTGAGTAGGCACATGACTATTAGTTTCCGAACCTGGAGCTAATGTCAAAACAAGGGCTTCATCTTCCTCTCCTATTGCAGAAACTGGTTCAGTAACTACTTCTCCTTTAGGTCCGTCTGTACTGAGATCAACTGGAGTAGGCTTAGTTTGGTTCTCGACTTTATCAAGGTCTGAAGTTATGAACTTTTGAACATTTTGATGATCGGTTGAATTCAATTGAAGATCATCATCGTTTGATAACTTTCTTTCAAAGGTTGAATCGATAATTGTTGAGACCGTTGTAATGGATACATCAGGACTAATGGACACAAGGGTGGAAGGTACTGCATCAGGGGATACAGAATTAATAGATACAGGATTAGTGGATACTGGAGTAGTGGATACAGGACTATCCGTTGGCCAAGGGGGAGCACAAACTACAGATCCCGCCAGTAACAGACATAAAATCTAAAAATAAAGAAAATTTGCAGGGTGTCTCAAGAAAACGGGGAATAAGGGTCTACAGACTTGTTCGTAAATGGATTTTCAAGATTGAGACCATTGTTAATATCTACGTACAATTTCAAATTTTGATTTTAGGCTTGTAGATGACAAAATGACAATTTCATAGGCTCCCTAAAGTTTCCAACTGGAGTGAGTAAATTTGGTTTAAAAAAAGATAATCTCCGTTTGCACAATTTTGTATAAAGGTCTACAGACCTTTTTTTAATCGGATTTTCAAAATTGAAACCTTTTTTTTATAAATTGTCCGTAGATTTTAAAAACTGTCTCAACCTTGAAAATCCGATTACAAACCAGTCTGTAGACCCTTATTCCCAGTTATTTTGAGACACTGTATATTTTATTAAATTTAAAAATGTGTTATTCTATTACCCCTTGTTTATAAATCATGAGTTTGCTGTTGGTAAGAACCATAGATTAATAATAGTCTTTTCAAGATTTAGGGGTTTTTCGTTCACAACAACGTAACTAGAGGTCAAAAGTAGTTACGAGCATGCTGCGTTGAAGTACAAGACAAAGATAGCCTGTTCTACGCCGCTTGTGCTTAACTCCTTTGAGCCTCTTCCTGAGGGTTATTGTGAACGAAAACCCCCTAAATCTTGAAAAGACGACATCTAGTGTTCTATCTATGGTAAGAACAATCATATTGTATTGTACAGGGTGTCCCAAAAAACATGGGAATTTAGTGACGAATTCGATATCGTCTTTGTTATGAATTAGCATTGTAATACCTAATTTCAAAAGCAATAATATTATTATGTCTGCTAGAGTTTATTTTATGAAAACGGTAAAAGACTGTAAAGATGTGTCTATAATGTCTCCGCACGATAAACAGTGAAGACGGACAAGTTTACTCTGGTTGTATACTGCAATTTTCTTGTTTTACTAAGTACAACCGTATGCAGTCAAAACGTAAACAAACAAATTGTAAACATAGCAGACGAAACTCTTACAGATTACAGCTTTCTCATTAGGTATCACTTACTAAATCAAAGAATTATTTAAAAAGACGATATCGAATTCGTCACTGAATTCCCATGTTTTTTGGGACACCCTGTATATATCTCTTTACAATATAAAAATTACGCATGCATAATTGAACGGAGATTATAATACTAACCCTCTTATAGTGCCTTCAAGATGCAAACACGTGCAACAATAATACAGGGTGTCCATTATTATGGGACATACATAGATTGGTTCGTTTCTTTTAAAACTTTTAAGGTTTTAGGCCTTTTAAAAGGTTAAAAGTTGTAAAATTTTACAAATTACAAAATTGTTTTTTCTAAATATTCGTATTTCTTACACTATGCTAAATTTTGAAGCTAAGAAAAAATATGCATAAAATGAAATGAATGTTTTTGGTTCGTTTTTCCTTTAAATTTTTCTTTAACGATAAATACAATTAGAACATGGCATATCGTTAGAAAAGGAAACTTTTACAGAGTTCAGTTTTAATATGTTGGAAGTATGGTATAAGTGTTTGTGCGGTGCCTTTCAAAAATATTAAAACCTCAAAAAAGTTATTTCCCTGCCATCACTAGGTATCTATTCTGAGCTGAAAACTTTAGAATGAGATATCCTTAATCCCGATAACCTAATCTGAGTATCCATGCATCCAATGGACACACTTTTTATTTTCGTCTTAAACCGTTCTTTCTTGGATCTATAGTAGAGAAAAATCAAAAACCGGTTTTTTAAAATTAGAGAGTTTCTCCCATTTCTTTATATAATCTTAAATGGCGTGCAAAATTTCAAATTTATCGGCTTCGTATACGCGACTCTGATTGGTTGAATTTGATACACTTTTCAGGATACAAGTACAAGATTAGGTTAGTCTCGATATTAAGAAAAAGAGAAGATAGGATGGTGTATTAACCTCGATATCCACTATTCTAAAGTTTTCAGCTCTGTCAATATAAATATGAGAATTAAGAGACGACCCAATATTCGTATTTGATGTCCAATAGTTAGCTATAAATGAAGTGGTGTGAATAAATTATCATCTATTAAGCTGGTCTACTTTTTAATGTCATAGCTGAAGGAGATCTTAATTATTGAAATATATTAAAATCTGGAAAAATTTCCTAAAATCTTTTTCAAATTTGAAAATCATAAGCTTTTTTTAACTGGATTAATTGAAGAACACATGTGATTACGATAAATGCAGTGCATAAGATCTATGACGACTCAAGAGATGATCCTTAATTCCTATTATTATCTAGAGATCCTATTTCTTTAAAAAGTTTTGGGACTTATCATTGTAAGACAACACGGATCAGACATTTTATTGGATAGAATGTTTTTAGATAACTCATAGATAAGAAAAGAAACAGAAAGAAAAGAATTCAAAAAATTGTTAAATACACTGTCAATGAAAAGTTCCTCTATCCAATTTCAGGTCTGTATAAAGTGCTGTCCATGAAAGTATTATCTATTTAATGTTCAATGATCCATCTTCAAAATATCTTTATATATAAAGTCCCGACGCCTTAAAGAATATCGAAGGGTTGTGTGAGTGTTAATGATATTGCAGAATGCCCCCTGACAAGAAAGAAAGATGATTGTTTATATCTACTGGAAGATGATTGTTTATATCTACTGGAAGAACTGAAAGCATTAACCTAGCATGACTCTACACGCATATCATTTAATGCCTTGACCAAAAGCGGTTACATGGTTAAACTACTGAGTAGTTTTTGCTCTGTATACATAATATCGCACTGTGTTATATCAGGCACATGGAGAGGGTTCAGAGTCTTTAATGTATAGAATTGGGCGTTGGCAACATGTCGTATCTTGTGCTATCTTGTCCTCTTGGCAGATTTTAAATTAAACCTTACAGAGTTAGCAGAGTAACATACAAACTTACATTCATACACATTGCATACAGACATAAACAAATTATAGGGATTTATTTGATATCCATCTTTATTCTTGATTACCCTTCAGGGGCGAATACGAAGGGCAAGGGGGACTAAGCCTCCTCCCGAGATAAGTTAAATCTATAGTTCCCCCTGTATCGGGCTGAACCGCGCCCCCTGAACTATTTCCTGAATACGCCTGTTTTCGATAATATATTATTACTGCACTCCAACTTTTTTATCTTTTAAAAAATATTTTATAATTATAATGTTTACAAGCTTTAGAATTTAAAAGATGATTATATATAAAACTTCCATGGATTCTAAGTAGATCTACTAAATATCTTGATATTTATCATTATCAAATCAAATAAAAAATTATTACATGATACAGTCATAGGGTTTAGGAAGATCTAATAAGCATTATATTATAATATTTATAGTTTGAGGTTCTATTAAAATCTACATTATAGTGTTTATATTTTATGCTTTCTGAAGTCAAAACTTAATTTTTAGTTTTGAGATCTCTTTAGTTTAGTACGCTTCCTACGGAATATCCATGGATGAAACAAAGGACTTGAGTCTTTGCCACAAACTCGAATATTAGAATCCCTAAATCGTTGCAACCTGATGACGTACAGCCTTTGATATTTCAAACTTAGATTGTTTGATCTAACGGAATTCAGAAATTGAAATTCCTAGGTTTACGTCATTTGACAGGAAAGATATAGGGATTAGAAAATTAGAGTTTGTGGCAAAGACTCAATTCCTTAATCCTTAGGTCTGCACAAGATTGAGATCAATTCTTGATCCCAAGATTCACAACAAAGTTTTGACCATGAACTCTGAAAAATCTACTTATCAGATTTTGTGTACATCTACTACAGTCCTCGTCGTATATATCAATACAATAAAGACGACTTTCTATTTTGATTTTGATTTAAGCAAAACATTTGAACAAAGAGAAGTTGCCAATTAACAGCATTTTTTATTTACTTTTAAACCTATAATTTGAAAATCATTTTTAGGGATAAAAGCATTATTAACTCAAAGTCGTTCTCATTGTATTGATATATTCGCCCACCACTGTAGATATTATAATGAGTAGGTTTTGCCGGGTGTATTACTCAATATTTCCTTCCTAATCCCGACAAGAATCAGTTAACTAAGAAAATCGTGTCCTATTATACCAAGATAAAGTATCCTATTCAAATATTAAAATTCTACGGGAAGAATGCAAAACGCCTGATTATGTTCAACCTTTTCTTATTTATATCTTTATGTTTTTTTGTGTTTGTCTGATGAAACAAATAATGGGGAATTAGAATAAAGAAAGAATTTATAAAACATATTAAACTTCTAATAGATATGATATTATATGATGTGTATCAATTCAAATTTAAGTCACGTTAAACTGAAATCTTGTATTTTTAATCATAACTCCTCTTATATATTTATGAGCAATTGAGAAGAAAATCCCCAATAAAAACGTCTTTCTATTTATTGAAAATGTCGCTAAGCAAAAACTTTGAAAACAGCTGTTACAAATTACAAATTCTTGAATGCTGACCGATATTTCTAATAAAAGAAATTATGAAGACGACAATTATTCGGTTGGATTTCTAAAAATATTAATTTACCAGATTATTCCGCATCCTGCACTCCGTCACATGCACAGTACAGCAGCAGGGTCTCAGGAATCAGAACCTGTACATTGTACATGAGTACATGTGCAGCCATAATAAGCTGATCAATTTAAACAAGATCAATTTCATCACTTTATAGATCAATCAGAGAAAATATAAATTAAAGGCACCGTTTAACAAAACCCTGGTCAGTCAATATACAGGGTTACCCACAAAGGATAAGACTGTAAAGACGATCTGATTATCTTAAATAATGCATGCCTTGAATAAAGTCTTTTAATTGCTTATTTAATGATTTTTAAAAGGAATTAACAAGTTTAATTTTAAAGGGGATTATGAATAAAAGAAAACAGAACGTATAAATTCCCTTCAGTTGGCTCTGAAGTCGTATCCTGTATTATTAGATCAATTGTTAAGAAGATCGAAAAAAAGATCAAATTTATCACTTCTTAGACAAGTTCTAGAACATATAAATGAAATAAACTACTAAAAACAACCAGCATATCAATGCACATTTTATGGATAGACGGATCCACTGTTGAGGAGAACAATTAAAATTAAAGACTAGATGATCAAATAACATGAGCAATTAGGTTTAACAAAATCAATCTTGAAACTAACCAATTAAAGAACAAATCAATTATTAATGATTTAAATTTCAGCCATGAAATTCAAATTATGAATTCTTTTAGATCAAATAGTCTTAGTTTAAAATATCTAAGACTATACACCATCAGGTTGCAAAGAAAAAAGGGATTTGAAAATTTGTTAGCTTGATTGATAATCGTATTAATTGGTTTACAAAAACTTTTAATAAAACTTACAACATTTTAAAACTGTATTCGATATTACATAAAGTTGGCTTTTATTAAACTTAAAGAAAAAAGGAAAAAACAAACTGAAACGATCGATTTGGATTAGTTTTTTTGCAAATTATTTCTCCCAGGGTCTAAATTTTGTAAGTTTAAGTTTGGATGTAAAAAAGCCCGGATCCTTCATGATCTCCTCTCCAAAAGCTATATCGAGATCACAAAAAAGGTTTGATGTTAAAAAAAAACCAACTTGTTTTGTGATTTCTCTCATCTTATTACATTTGATGCTAATATAATGCCCTGGTTTAAAAATATTACAAGAATAATGATATATAAGCACCTGTCCGCTCTATATAGTACTCTCATATACTGACTAGTAGTACTGTAAACAACTACTATTTGTAGACTAGGAGCTTTGAGTAGAGTAGGGCACCGCCCTTCTTCGCCTAAATACAATTCCCCCCCCCACCCCCTTCCTTTTTAATTTTAGATATCCAGATGTTAACCCTACCCTACCAATACAATTCTCCACCCCACCCCCTCCCTTTTAATCTTAGATATTCAGATATTAACCCTACCCTACCAATACAATTCTCCACCCCACCCCCTCCCTTTTAATCTTAGATATCCAGATGTTAACCCTACCCTACCAATACAACTCTCCCCCCCGGGCCTCCCTTCCTTTTCATCTTAAATATCCAGATATTAACCCTACCCTACTGTTACAATTCTCCCCCCCCCCTTCCTTTTAATCTTAGATTTCCAGATATTAACCTTTATAGCCTACCAATACAATTCCCTACCCCAACCCCCTCCGTTTTAATAATAGATTGTAAACCCTACTTCTTTTCTTTTGATCGTTAAATATTTTTCAATATGCAAAGGAGAAATAAGAGAAATAAGAACATATTTGATAGTTTTAATGATTTAGTTACTACTAGATGGAGGGTCCGGCGTTATCCGCGGCCAAACAAATTTGCGATTTTTTTAGCCTATAACACCCCCCCCCCCCCCNCGGCCACCCATGAGTGTCTACAAAAAATTTCAGCCCAATCGGTCTAGCCGTTTGGCCGGCTATACGCAACATATATATGAATGTCTTGTTTTATAATATAGATTTTATCCCCCACGGTTGGTTATTTCGTTGAACAGGAGATTAAACGATAAATTACTACTTAACCGGGAGTTTTCATGAGGATAATTAAATTGAGGGGAAAACCACTTTATAGCCACTTGGTTAAGTGGTTTTCCCATCAATTCAATTACCCTCCCTTAATCTCCCGGTTACACCTCTTTCATACACATGATTAACCACATTGATTAACCATATCAAAACCACTTATTCCACCATTGCCTGTACCCATGTAAAGATATCTATATTAAAGTTTCCTCCCTTTCTGATCATATACAGATATTAACTCTACCAAAATAATAAAATAACTAAGGGTGACGTATCGTTTGCACTAATGATTGATCGGACTAACGTACATTCGCACTATCGTTCATTCGGACTAACGTTTTATTTGAGGGTTAGGTTAGGTTAAGACAATTTCTGGGCCGAGCGCTGCGGCTAGGACAGGCTAGGGGTCCAAGCGCTGCGGCCACAAGTGTTACTGATCAGCGGACTTTAGTGCAAAAGTACGTTAGTTCAATCGGACATTAGTGCAAACGATATAGCATCCTGTTTAGTATTTATAAAATGATAATCAGCTATCCCTCTCATTATTTCCAAGTAATTTTCTCGTGTATCAGTGATTTTAAAATTAGTGCATTTCATCTAAAGTTTTGACTATTTCACCTGGCAAAGTGTCATTAACAAAAGATCCAATTAAGAAGTGCATTATACACTGCAGGGCGGCTTATTTTCAAAGTGCAGTTGTAAATCGGAACTAAATTTCAGTTGGTTGTAATTAAAACACAGCTAATTAAAGCGCAGACTATTAAACCGCTATCCCAACAAATTTGTGTTTACTATTTAATGATTTAACTTATCGAAAACTTTATAATTTCGATTAATGCATATATATCTAAATCTAAAATCATTCTAACAGGAACTGAACACTTGCCACAAATCCTAAATTTTTAATCCCAATATCTTTGCAGTCTTATATCGTTTATCTAATGGAATTTAAAATGTCTAAAATATCAAGTTGCAAAGAAATTTGAAAACTAGAATTTGTGGCGAGTGTTGAGTAAGTTTTTTGTAATACCAATGCGATTAAAAAAGAAAATTTTATTTCTATTTTATTTTGTGTTTGTTTCTAAATCAATCGTGATAAAACCTAATAATATTTTAATACCAGAAGTACTTAATGCTTTAAACACCATGATTGTATAAATCTTCATATCATGCTGTGATGTTAAAACAGATTTAAAGAGATGAAATCATCAGATAAAAGATTATATATCTATTGATAATTAGGCCCACCTATAGAAGTTTTATGAAGGGAGGGGAGGGGAACAAATTTAGAGACCCATTCGGGACATTTTAGAGACCCATTCGGGACATTTTAGAGACCCATTCGGGACATTTTAGAGACCCATTCGGTACATTTTAGAGACCCATTCGGGACATTTTGTTTTAGTGGAACATGATGTGTGTACTTTTATTCAGTCCATGCTCAAATCATTTTTGCACTTTTATCAAACCATAACAACACCTATCCAGGCCCAATCAAACCAATTGTTTGTGTTTGCGCAGTTCTGTAAACCATTTATTTAAAGTCCCCTCCATGTGCGAATTTTTATGATTTGATCAGATAATTATTTCGCTAATTCTCAATACTCATCTTTATTGATTCTCCTTGTAAACTGCGTTCTTCTTAAAGTTACAACCGTTTTATTGGTAATTAAGGTTTACTACATTTAAAGTATCAAATCATAGAGAATTTAATTAGTTCCAAAACTTACACTTGGCCCGTTTTTGGGATCCCGGCCTGCATATCTAGAGTAAAAGTCCATAGTAATATCTATTTATGCAACTGCCTTGTGTTATAATACTTTTTTTTTACTTAATTTAGTTTCTTCAGGATTTAAAGGCTTGAATTTTAACCGAAAACAAACTATTTTAAGTAAAAATCCCGACAAAAATATAATTTCCCAAATTATACACGAAGCAGTTGCTTATATAATTCTATTCCAGTTTAACCCGAAAAAATGCTTTCAAAAAACTCTTGAGTAAAAAATCCAATCTTCTGGGACATTCTTTCTCATAATTTCACAGCTTGAATTTATGTATATACAAAACAAAAACGTTAAATTAATATTAATGGTGGAAGAATGAGAACTCAGGGGAAAAAACTAGAAGTGGGTCCAAGGGCGTATGCAGAAATAAATCTAGGGGGGGGGGAACAACATTTGAACTGTTTAAATTCAAAACATATTTGGCTTCTTTGATATCAGACATAAGTATAAGATACTTTAAAGGTACACACACAGTCCAATTACCTTACAAGTACTACTTTATCTGTCCTTCAAACAAAGCTAGCAAAAAAAAGCATTGTTTCTAAAAAATCGACATTTTCTTATACTTTTATGTTAGTATTAATAATTAGTATTTAAACTAGAGAAAGTCAAAGACATTTTTGAAAATGAAAAACTCAACTTAAACTTAAATTCTATGAGATGGAAAAAAGGACAAAGGTCCAAAAAATAATTATGACTTGTAAAAGTTTCTGTTGTGAAAAAAAAGTAGGAGTACAATTGTAATCTATATAATAAAGCTCTTAGTTCATTTATGTGTTTGCTATGGCTGGCCAAACGGCTGAATCGATTGGGCTGAATTTAAGTGAGGAAACTCATTGATACCCTTGGGGATGACATAAGCTTAATTAATTATAAGTTTTTTGTTTTAATTCGATTTTTAAAATTTCATGGGCACTGCATTTAGTTTGCAATTAATAAAGTAAACAAAATCTAAATTAAAAAAAAACTTAAAATGGTTTTTTACTACCTCCAAACTCAAGCCTTCATTGCATGGCATTAAAAACAATTATTTTACTTCGCTATCACATATTGTGCCCATCCTATTAGGATGAATGTGCAATTCCATTCTAGATAGATTTTTCATTCGGACTTCTGTCATGGTGGCTCTGATCCACTAATATAATCTTCTTAATGTACTAAATGAACAGCAAACTATTTTTTTATGTTCTTCACTCTTCAGTTTAAGATTTGCAAAGTGTGAAAGCTCTGAGTTCTAGGGGGTGGGCTACGCCTCCCCCTTTGCAGGTCTTGGGGGTCGCACTGCCCCCCCCCCCCCCTCCTGTATACGACCTTTGGTGGGTAGCCATGAGAGGGTGCGGCCTATGATTGGCGTCACAGTCTAAAGGAAAATCTTGGATCTCTGAGAAATACGAAACAAATATAATAATGTCCAACTTTGATTGTTGCATGAATTTAAATACATAATGTGTCTGTGTGTATGAGACCAGGTTTAATTGAACCAGTAATATAAACTAGAATTAAGATAAGCTTGATTCTATCTTCTTTTTACGGACTAGTATAACCCCTGGGGTACGTGGGATACAGAGTGTAACTGTTAGCACGCAGAGGGGGTTTAGAAATAGGACGGATAAATGTTATAACGAGAAAAAAGCGTCCAAGTGCATTGAAAAAGGAGAGAGCTGATCACTTGATATAGACTTCAAGCCTTTTGTCGTTGCAAATTTAATGATATTTTAAACTGAACTCATTTGATCTGACATGAATTTTTAGAAGTACCATCACAGGTGAAACTAGCAAAAAATTTCAAAAATAAAAGGTTTCGGTAATCCGAGTGACTAGTTATGGGTTCAACCATTATTTCAGTTTTCTTAGAAAGATCATATCTTTTGTTAAAAATATTAGTTAATTGTAGAATTTTTATTTTAAAAAAGATTTAACGTATTTTAGTGGCACCATTAAAACGTGACGGAATTTTTGTGTCGTGTTCAATCAGATTCCAGAACCTTCTGCAGTAAATTTCTTTATTTCTTAAATCCTTTAATTGTTTTGTAGGGTAATAAATAAATGAGTTAGAGGGGGGGGGGAAGCAAATCAGAATCTAATTGCAGTGTTTTACCCTCTTTTCAGTACATTTATTTTCCTAAGTATTTAGCAAACAAACCAATTCTGAGGCCGAATTTAAAGAAGTTGAACCGCCAATAAACCGTTCCAATTAAGCGCCAGCTGAGTCAACCATGTTTGAACCGCGTCTCTTGTTGGAAACGTCTGAACGCAGTTCAAATTCGTTAAATTCGGCCTCTGATCTTTTTCTTTTCTCTTCTCCGAAATAATTGGGATTTTTATTTCTAAGTTTGAAATTTGCCTACAATTGTTTTATTGTTTTCTTCATTAAAAACACTGAAGAGTCTCTTTTTCAAATAAAGTATTCAATTTAATAGAAAGAAATGGGGAGAAGGTTTTTGGAAAAATATACATTCCCGCCGGCAATGATTGTTTTCTAGACACGCCCTAAATGTTTTTTCGTGGATTTTTACTGTAATGCGCGCAGATCTCTAGTGCACATATTTAACAAGTTTTTATTAATCTGATAGAAACCCCGGTCTGTATTTTAAATTGTTAGTGGTCGGGGAATTATTTTAATAGTGTACGCAACAAAGCAGAATACATCTTACATCCGGCCATATTACAAGGAGGAGACAATGTTGTAGAATATTATATTGATGAAAGGGACAATGTTGTAGAATATTAATAATTTAAAGTGAAAACATTAATTTCTGAATAAAAACAAAGAGTTCTACTACTACAGTATGACCCAAAAAACTAAGGAATGCGTTTTTGACGTTGACTGAAAGTAAACAGCAAAAACCTGTATACGGAAATGGGTATGTGTACACTTCATATTTGCTTTGTTAAATCTTAATTTATAGTCTTCCTATTCCATGGTTTCATGAGTCTTAATGTATGAAAGAATGTCAATTTGCATTTTATATTATAGCTAGATAAACCAATTTTTAGTTTGAACCATTTTAGTTTTTAAAATATCTCTCGAAGAGTGTTAGTGAAATGCAGTGAATACTTAGTAATTGGAAATAGTAACCTTTTTTTTAAACATAACTGAACATGGACAAAACATGTAGAAAGTTTTTTGGAAAAAAATTTATTTCGTGAACTAGAAAAAATTTTATAAAAAATTCACAGCCATAAGTTAAACAACTTTTAGGAACATTTTAATTTATACCGAGTATGCTACGCGCATACCAGCTGGAACCATTGTCTGAGCGCATCACTTAGTGTTGCTGGAAGGTTCTCTACATCTCTAAGTATGATATAGTGCTGGAAGGGGAAGGTGTCGAGGTAGCTCTGTATTCCCAGCAGTTCACCTTTACCACCAAACACTGGAGCTCTGGAAAAAAAAGATTTTGTCAAAAAAACCTTTTTGTTTATTTTCGGAACCCATAGCTTAAAGAGTATGGATAGGATGTTGAACTATCACGAGTTAATGAAAATTAAAATACTTTGAAAGTCAATTAGTTCAATTATAAAAATCAAGTTCATTATTAATAAATAACGTTAAAAATCCAAATTCTTGCCGATTAGTCTTTTCCTCCCTTTCAAATTTCACGACTCTTTTTTAAATAAACTAAATTGAGTCTTTGCCACAAACTCAAATTTTTGATCCGTTATCTTTACAACCTGACGGTGTAAAACTTTGATATTCAAAACGTAAATTATTTAATCTAACAGAATTGTTGACTCTGCTATAGTCCGAGCTAAAGCTATACCTAGAGAAGTTGCTTTAAAGAAAGTGGAGAAAAAGGAGAAACCAGATCGAGTTATATTTCAAGGAATAATAATTGTCCTAAAACATTTTTTTAGAAAGTGAATATTTGCAAATTATCTTTTTTCCATCTCATAATCTGAGTTCTTTTCCCTTATGTCCATTTGACAGCCCAAATTTTTATTTTGAATAATCTTTTTGTTTGTTTATCTTCTTATGATTTTTACATTTTTTTTATTTTTTTTATCGATTTGATGGTTATTATATCATTAGAACTGACGAGGGTCAACCCAGACCGAAATATATTTTCAATAAATGTGGAACTAACATCTACTTTTTTACTCTACAGAGGTTTGGTCCATCACCATCACTGAATTTTAAATCTAACAGAATTCATCGGTGAAAATTGCAATTAAAAAATCAGATTTTGTGGCCAAGACTCAATTTTTTCAGATGTTATATTAAGATTACTAACCGGATATCAAGAACACTGTCTGTATTCTCTGGGTTCTCTACGATTAGATAAAGACAGAAGAACCCTGCTCCTCGACTATTCACAACAGACTTAACATAAAATATAATTAATTCAATTAGTTAAACATACTATTAGTGAAATTTTTAATGAACCTCATTGCAAAGACGGAAATGCCTGAATTACAACCGTAACCTTAAATTAAAAGTTTTGTCTGATCAAGTATGATTTATATATCTCAGTTTATATTTTTTAAACTAGTTATTTTAGTTTGTAATTGTTCTTCTGAAGGAAAAAAGATAGGAATTACTTTTAAGCCTAGACAAACAATATTATCTTTCACATTATTGATCAGATACAGGTTTAAGTGTACCGTTGTGAATCGGACATTAACATCTTTGCATGAAGAGTCACTTTAAAATAGGCTTTCAGTCTCTTTAAATGATAATTTCTGTCAACATTTAAATTGGGGGGAAAAAAAACTTTGAATTAGCAACTTTAAATATTGTCAAGAAGAAAAAGCATATCAGAAAAGTAAAAGTTTGAATGTCAACATTGTGGAAAATCAATAGTTTCAAAAGATTCAAAATATTTCTTGGTAAATTGTTCAGACTAGAAGACACTCACCTGAATAACTTTCTCCTTCCCTTCATGGAATATCCCTCTCCCATCTGATATTATCACCAGGAGCTGAGATAGAGCAGTCCCACTCCCGGCACTATTCCGGTATTTATGGAACAAACCAGAGGTTAGGGAGAGCAGAGATATCACACTTGTACTCTTCTGATCAAACCTGGAAACAAGATGGGGTTTCATGGAGATATTCAGTGTAAAAGAATATCATTCAAAGGACGGTCCACGTAATTTCAAGCGACCATCCAGATTCCAGACCTTTGTCTGAGAAAAATTGATGAGGTTATCCGTGTGTTTCTATTTGAAAAGTGATAATTTTCAATTGTGGTTCCTCTAAATAAATGAGTTTCAAATTTATAAAGCAGAATTTGACACTTCACCTAATAGAAAAACTAAAAGCTATAAGTTTAGAGGATAGCGTTGTAACTTTTAAAAAGGAGGAAGTTGCATTAAATTATGTAGGAAATCTTTTTAATCTCTCCCTTCTTCCCCAATACAATAAATAAATTATATGAAGACACTCCCTTCTTCCCCAATACAATAAATAAATTATATGAACTCTCCCTTCTCCTCCAATACAATATATAAATTATATGAAGACTCTCCCTTCCTCCCCAATACAATATATAAATTATATGAAGACTCTCCCTTCTTCTCCAATACAATATATAAATTATATGAAGACTCTCCCTTCTTCCCCAATACAATAAATAAATTATATGAAGACTCTCCCTTCTTCTCCAATACAATAAATAAATTATATGAATACCTGAACTGATTTTGAATCTTGTGTCCGGCTGTCTGAGACCACTGTAGGTTAAGAGGATGGATAACCTCGGCTGATTCTCCAAACCGCAGAACTCCCAACTGTCCGGCCTCGAGCAGAGCTAAAGCCGAGGATATTGTGTTCAAGGACTCTAGAGCAATCTGTCGGGATTTATTATCCGACATACTGGCGGAGTCGTCCAGCGCAACCAGGATCTGAAACTCTCTCTTGTTAGGTTTAGTTCTTCTCAACCAGATTTTATCCTTCTTAAAATCTGATGCAATGAATGGGATTATTTTTCTCATGTTTAGACGCTTCCCGGTTCTAAAATCTCCCTGCAAGCTGGAGGCTTTAGTTGGGTTGAGAATGAGTCGGAGCTGCTCAGAGAGCTGGTGGGATAGCTGAGTCAAAACGGGAGCATTGTTCTCCTCCGAATCGTTCAGTGATATCTGCTGCATGGAGAGGTCTGTATCAAACCTGATAGAACCGCCGGATGGAATAACATCCATGTCTTGTCTTACAGCAATGGAATCTGTACCACGAGGAATTAATTCGGTATCCACAAACTCCTTCTCTGCATCTTCAGTCTTCTCTTTATCCCCCTTCTCATCATTAGAACTATTCTCCGTCTTCTCCGCTGAAGATTTCTCAGTTTTCCTCGCTTCAATGTTTGGAACATCTTCTTTCTCTTCTTCTGTTTCCATTTCAAAATCATTCATGAAAACTTGATCCTTGACATCTTCTTCTGCTCTGTCTAGCGCAGCTCTATCCTCTTCTCGTTTATCCATCACATGCTGGAAGGTGTCGGCATTCTTTTGTCCTTCTTCGCCCGTCATGTTTCCTTCCATCAGCTCCAACCTTTCTCCTTTCATAGAATTATCCGCCAAAGTTTTCTCTTCTTGAGATTTTGTTCCTTTACCGGATTTTTCCTCAGAATCTTCTTTAGACTGTTTATCAGTTTGAACACTGAAGGATTTATTATCCTCGGTCTTCTCTGAGTTCTCGTTTAAGCCTGCAGACTCCTCCTTGTTGCTTTGGTCAAACTCAGTCTCGTTCTTAACAGAGTCCTTTCCTGCCTTATTCTCATCGTTGGCAATAGTTTCCTCCGGACCTTTCTCCTCCTCCTCCATGTTTACTTTCTGCTCATCATCAGCTTTCTCTAGGGTTTCCTCATCCGGAGTATCATCCTCTTGGAACTTCTCAACCTGAGTGTTATCTCCGTCTTCATCATCGGAATTATCCTCGCTTTCTTCGCCTTCCTCATCCTTCTTATCCTCAAAGTCTGGAAGTGCTTCAGGCTCATCAGCACCGTCATGGTCTTCAAACGGATCTTCTTGTTCATCCACTTCCATACTCATCTCATCAGGTAGATCCATGGGTTCAGGTTCTGGAAACTTTTGATCCTCTCCGTGCAGTTCATCAACTTGATTATCGTCAAACTCAGGTTCCTCTTGCTCCTCGTCTTTCCTTTCTCTTTTCTCTCCTTCCTTTTTACTCTCCTGTTTATCATTGCTTGATAGTTCTTCATCAACCTGTTCCTCTGTATTCCCTTGTTCCTTGCTCTCTCCCAGGTTTTCCTCATCCTCCTCTTCCTCCTGTTCTCCCCACATATCCTTATCCAGTTCTTCATTCCCTTCAACCTCTCCCACCTCATCATCCAGCTCCTTCTCCTCTTCATCTTTATTCTCATCCTCCTCAGCATCCTGTTCCTCCTTGTCCTGAAGTTGGCTCTCAAAATTATCAGACATTTCTATTCCATTCTCCTCTTCCGCCGTATCCTTTTCTTCCTCTTTCTTTTCAGTTCCATCATAAGCCCCGTCCAACATATCTTCGTTATCAATCTGATCAGAAACATCTTTACTTCCCTCTCCAGCTCCCAACCCTGTCTCCTCCTCTGAGCTCTTGAAATCAGTTTCTCCGCTCTCCTTATCCTCGTCCTCCAACCCCTTGATTGGACAGAATCCTTCAACTGAAATGTGTCGGAACACCTTGAGTAGAACGGAGAGGAGTTTGGAGAATTCTCTTAAAACTAGCATACTAGACTTCAGGACAGATTGCAGGGAGCAACTGTATACCTCCAGCATCCCAACTACATCCTTAAGCACGCGAAGAATGTTATTTCTACTCTCTGGGACAAGATTAAAGATTTTGATGGAGTTCTCTATATCTCGGAGTAATCCCACACATTTAAACTTAGGAACCTGATTCAGGATACAGTTCATGATATTCAACCAGTTTTCCTCATCTTTGAAAGATTTCATAGTTATTTGCATAGCCTGGATACCAAGTAAACTCTTAAACAAGGTTTTACTCATACTGGATTTAAAGTCAAAATCTACTGGAGAGGATGAAGTACAGGGCTTCATGGGTAGAAACATATTCTGAACTGTCTCCAGCTTAGAATTCAAGCTTCTCAACCTTCTCTCAACAGGGTGGTTTGATACTAGAGCTATGCAAGAATTGATTCCCTTTCCTAATTTACTCACATCCTTCGTGAGAGCTGAAAGGTTCAGGAATAGCTGAGAGGATGCAAAGTATCTTGGAGCAGAGGTAGAATATTCTGATAGTTTCCTGAGTATATATTTAGCAGAGCTCAGGAGAATCAAGGATTCTCTAATCTCAGGATAGTCCTGAGTAAAGTTCTCCAGAACCAGGACAACAGAATTCATCTCCAGCATTGATGTTTGTAGTGATTTAACATAATCTTGAGCAGGATAGTAACTAGCATTAGGACTCCACTCCTTCAACTCCATGCAGAAGGTTTGTATTGTCTCCTGTAGGTTGGAAAACCTTAGGATGGTTTTCCTCCAGGTAGTGAGCGAGTGCAGGGAGTGCTGAGCAAACCCTTGAAACCGTTCAGCAACATTAGGACTCACATCCTCCGGGAGCTGTTTATCCAGGAGAGGAACCAACTGTCTGTATCTAGCCCAGCACCTGGATCAAAAACAATTAATAAAATGAAGAAAGATTGTTGTCATCGAGGAACTGATAACTAAACTGAAACTCAAAATTTATAATACCTATACCTATGCAAGTTTGGGACCTAGTGTTGTAAACCTTTGATATTAAATCTATGACTAAAATGATCTAGCAGAAAGTATTGTTTAAATTACAAAAGGGTCATGACATCAGGTTGCAAATATATATATATTAGGATTAGAAAACAAAAATGTTAGGCAAATTCAACTAGATTTCTGAAGGAAAGAAATTAAAATAAATAAATATATTTGGCTAAAAAAATTAAATTGAATTAAAAAAATATATATAAAATAAGTTTATCAAAATTTCTTATAATTTGGTTAAAAAGTCGCCCCGACAATAAGACTACTTTAACTATGCTATTGTTCTTTTTGTAAAAAGTAGAAAAATTACCTGAAGAAATATTTTTCGCAATCTTTCCAGAGTTGAAGTTCAGAATTTAACTTGACGAACAGTTCATCATTAGTGTTCAGATCTCCGCAGTTCATTAACCCATGTCTGTACGAGAGACCCAACCCTTGCAGGGTTTTGAACAGATCGTTGAGGGCTCTTCTCTTCCTCTGCTGGATAAAACCGGCCTGCTTCTTCTGCTCCTCCTTAGTCTTACTCCGGGTTACATCAAGCTTCTGTAATTTCTCCATCTCATTGATAATGTTTGGAACCAACTCTGAGATTGGTTCAACTAGGTTTTTATTTCTGATCTCATGTAGGATCTTCCGCTGAATGTTGTATGCCTGTTTGCTCATTTTCTCGTAGCTACCGATCTCAATATTCTTCAGATTGACAATATTCTGGTAAACAAGAGGAGTTGAAGGTAGAATTGATATCTCCAGAACCTGATCTAAACCAACCGGACTAGAACCATCAACCACCGCCTCAGATCCTTCATCAATGAAATAGTTTTTGCAAGGTTCGCTCACAGCCTTCTTATACTCCCTCAGCGCCTTGTGGAGAACCTTCCTGGTCTTCTCCACCATGTTCTTGACAGACCAGAAGTTTGTATCCTTCCACCTTGCCATTTTTACAAACTCTCCAACCTTCTTCTCAGATGCTTTGAATAGGGCGTCAAGTCTAGACTCAATGGACTCTTGGAATCTGGCGTAGTACTCCTGGATGTTCTGTAGCGCGGCAATCAACCACTTCTTGTTGGATCCAATCTGGAGCATGGTTTTCTGCGCGGACTGGAGAATCTCCAACCTTGTCTTGAAATCTGCTAAATTTGACGCTTCAATGAACTGAATTAGAGCTCGGACGGTTTCAGTCTTGTTCTTAGCCTCTAGTACTACTCCCATCACGTGGAGCCAGAACTCCGAGGATGCGTTCCTTATAGTTTCCAGAGATTGTGCCAGGATGGGTTTCCAGTTGGATAACTCGAGCTTTCTCCATCTGAGTATAAGAACTGAGATACTGTCCATCAGGTTTTGGATGGAAACTCCTCTGTGTGCATTCTTTTCCCACTCCTGACATGATCCCAGGAGTAGCTCCAATCCTGTCAGGTTCTTGGAGAGGGGAGACTCCAGAGGGAATGTGAGAATTCTATTCCTAATGACTAGAATTTGAAGAAGTAGTGGATTCTCCGGGAACTCATCCAACAGGTTTCCAACAGAAGATCCCATTGCTAGCAGCAGAGGTTTCATCAACTTAGTTTCCTCCTCATTGGGATCTGTGTAGAAATTGTAGAATTTGGGTTTGTCAACTCCAGATATAAAACTGTTAGCCAGGGTTATCAGGGAAGGAATGAGATTAGTCTCTAGAGCTAGACTGTTAACTCCGGGTTGGGCAGAAATTAGAGAATTAATGGTTCTCCACCTATCTCTGAACTCTGTTCTTGATATCTCAGTAAGTCCTGAACTGACGTCAGTAGTTCCAAATTTGAGAATAAAACTAGCAATATCTTTGATAATTTCTAACCGGACCGGAGAGAAGGATGGTTTCTCTGCAACACTATTCTCTGCTATGTCTTCATTAAGATTGTCTGTACTTGTGATGTCTGCAAAAACTTCTTTGAAAGATGGGAAAAGTTTTTTGAACTCGTCTTCTGCAAGCTTTTCCTCGTCCTCCTCGGAGCAAACCGTCCTTGTCTTAAAAACAGCCTCGTCCTCCAGTTCCTTCTTCTTCTTCAGCTCCTGTTCACTCCTCCAGGAGTAGAGTAACCTAGAGACAAGTTCGTAAAGATGATCCGGAGAAACTCTCAGGTTTGGAGTAGTTGTAGAACTTTGTTTCAGAAATACAAGGCAAGATTTTAAAATCTTTAAATCCTGATTGTTGGAGATAAGACCTGAAACTGAAGGATCCAGGTAAAACTGAAACAATGTGTTAAGGTTCTCTCCTGGAGAAATGACAGGATCTGAGACAAGTAGAACAATCTTCTCTAGGTCACTACACTTGTCTCTCACAGTCTTCTGACGGATTTGTTCAACTGCGGCCTCAACAGCGCAAACAGCTGTAGTAACAGACTCTATGATTGGCAGAACAAGATCAGGAAAACTTGAATGCTCAAGAAGATCAGATGAGAACTTGACACTTGATTTCATCCATACTTCTGTCTCTTGAAGAATACTTCCGATAGTTCCGTCCTGATGCAAGTTCTCTAGATCCTGAACCAGTTTCAGCAGGGTAGAGACGCTACCAATACTATCCTTGTAGTGTTTCACTGTGTTACTTAGCAGACTAAAGCTCTGGGTTCCTCTCACTGCAGTCCTGCAGATCATTGAACTAGAAGAAACCTCAAGATTTAATTCTCTCTCCTTAAGGATAGATCTGTGTGGATGCAAGGTTCCGACTGCCTCATAGAACTGATCTATTACTAGAATCTGATTTCTTACATTCTCAAGTTCCTTCAATGTTTGTTTGTACTTGAGTGCTTGTTTCTCCGCAGGGTCGATAGCTCCTAAACTACCAAATATATGTAGTTTTAACGAGTTAAGGAGAACTATATCTAGCTGAGCAGAGAAGATGGTTTCACTCCTAGATCGGATGGAGAGCGCTTTAAGAACCCGGAGCACATTAACGTCTATAGTTCCGATTCCAAGGACGGAATCAATGCAAACATTATCATCGATACAATTATATGCTTTGTGTAACCCATTCAAAATTATTTTCATCTCCGTATCAAATTGTTCTCGGAGTCTAGAGAGAACGTCCGGGGATTTGAAATTTTTCAAAACCTTGACAAGATTCAAGATTTGTTCCCGTTTCTGCTGAAATGTAACAAGAGGAACTCCGGCCCCTGATCCAACCAGGAGATGGTTTACTAAACTAATGGCATCAAAACAGTTAACAGGATGCTCCGCAATATTAAGACTATGGTTGACAGGGTTATGCTCCAATGCTAAAATACTCCTAGAGGTATTCTTGCAGTAGTAGAGCTGTGTTCTAGCTCTGGTCTCCATATTCTCTTCTCCTCGAACCATCAGAAGACGAAGATTTATCGGAATAAAAACATTGTTTGGATCCTGAACCTGTCGGAGCTGGTTTAATCTGGAGGAAACAGCTGCAAGCTGGAGTTCATAAAAACTTGCACTTGAGCAGGACTCAGATGGGGAAAAAGATGATACGATCTCTAGAATATCTGCAGACACCTGGTTCATTTCTATCTCCAGGTTCTTGTATTTCACCAGAACTTCTTCAATCTTAGGAAGGCAGTTGGCGATGAAATTAATCCTAGATTTTACATCTCTGTTTTCAATAATAGCTTCAGTCTCGGATAGATTGTGAAGAATCTCCAAAGACTCCAGTGTTTGAGGAGGGACTGGACAGAATTCAGTGATGGCTCTAAACCTTGAGAAAGAGTTTGAATCGTAGTTCAAGGATTCAATAACTTTGTTCGATTTTATAAATACAGACTTGAGCTCGGAAAGATTTAACGATTTAATCAATGGACTCAATCTCTTTACCATCCAAAACCAGTAAACATAGAGAAGTCGCTCCAAATCCTCCTCTTGGTTTCTCTGAGTTACTTGAAGACCAAGATCTCCCAGCTCATACAACCAGAACAGGAAGGAGTCGAACTCAGTCCAGGATTCATTAGACATTGGTTCATGTTTGTTCAGTTCGGCTTCAATAGTCTGCAGAAGAGACATTACCATAGAGGGAAACTGCTCTAGTACTTTACTGCTTAGACTGAATGAGTTCCCACATTTAGAGAGAAGACATTTCGGGTTTAGGTTTACCCGGTCCTGGAGCTCTTTAAACTTGGAGTATGTGACCAGGATCAGGGAGAGACGGTTGGGCAGATCATCTTGTTGAGATCTTCCTGACGGTAACATTCTACTTTCCCACACCGTTCTCTTATCTGTAAATTCAGTCTCGTATAAACTCTGGAACAGTTTGTTCTCAGAGAACTTTCTGCAAATATCTGTCAGCTGCGGTGACTGGAATATTAGAGAAATAACAAGAAGCCGGAGATTTGAGTCAGCTTTGCTCATGAAATTCAGGGAGTAGTTGAAGGATATCCTGGCTAGCTCCGGATTATCTTGAACCTCAAGGACAGGTAGTAGCTGGTAGCTTATTTTACCTAGCTCCGGGTATGCAGAGAGAAGATTGGCTGAGGATAGGAGCCAGCAAAGACGATGCTGTAAAGGAACCAGAATATTCGGCCTGTCCCCTGATACACAACCTGATAACGCCTGGAGTCCAAGAATAGAGATTTTATCCGTGTACTCTTTGAACCCGGACGAATGGCTGAGAACCAGTGCCTGACTTACTGCTGAATCGCTAGAAATTGCGGAAGAAAGGTTTGCGGAAACAAAACCCATTCTATCAATGGAACTGATATTAACTTCCTGACAGGACGGGACGTATATCTCTACTCCTCTGTTCCTCATTGCTCTGGATATATCACCCCTACTAGGATCATAGAGAAGGAAAACCCTGAAGTCAGGATGGGGTTTAACCTCTGGAATTTCTCCGTCAAGAACACCCCTCTCACTTACAGTCAGTTTTCCTCCGTGTTCAAACAAAGCATTGAGACGATCTAGAACAGAAGCACTGCAAAGATTCACGTTATCTATCAGTAACCAGGACCCTTCTCTCAGGGCTTTAAATAGAATACTGTCAATCCACTCAAACGTTCCATGTTTGGATGAAGATTTAAGCAAACTTAGTTTCTCTTCAAGCTCGGAATAAATTTCAATGTTAATTTTTTTGATCATATCAATCATTTCGGTAAGAATTTGCAATTGTCGTTTTCTCTTCTTTATCTGCGTAGCAGCTCCGAACAATCCATAGAACCGAACCGTCTCCTCCATCAGTTGTAATCCAACCTTGAGATTGTTCTCCAAAACCTGGTCCAAGATATCTCTGATATCAGTTTGTATCTGTGAGAATAGTTCGAGTATACTCCGTCCTATATCTGCCTGTTCAAACCCTCCCAGCAGATCCATTGTATCACTGGAGGAGTTGAGACTAATGATCTCCAGGTTCCTTGAACACAGGGAGGAGAGAACGTTTACCAGACTAGACTTCCCAGATTCACTTAGCCCTGTACAAAAAAAAGAATAAAAAAATAGATTCGGTATCATCTAAGAATAAGAAGTAAAAATTTTAAAACCTTTCAACTTATTTACTCTTTAGGAAATTTAATAATTAGTTTGTATAATGCTATAAATCATTCCATATCTTTATTAGATAACAATTTATTGCAATTAGTGATTTCACTTATCAGTAATAACGCATTACCAAATTAAGAAAATAACCTGTTAGAATAACCGGCCAGTTGTTCTGAATACATCCTGCTACACTCTCTAGAACTTGTCTCTGATATCCAAGCATAAAAACGTCCCTGCTCTCACGCTCCGTCCTTTGTTTTCTCTGCAGACTAAACTCTCCGACATGGGTCCAGGACTCGTTCAGCTGGAGAACCCCGGAGACAGGTTGGAGAGGATACTTGGGATGGAAAACCTGTTTGTATATCTCCAGGACACGATCTTTATCATCATTTCTCCGGAACCTGCCAGAGTATAGAACTCTCACGTACTTTCCAGGGTTTGGAGACCCGTCCTTCATCATAGCCTGGCACCATCTGATCAAAATTTATCATTATCCTCTCTTCAGACAACTCTTAAAAGCTTTGAATGAACAAAATTGAACGAGATATCCATGAACTTATGCTTAAAAAATTGATTATTTTAATTTTGGATTCTCAAGAAAGTGAGTTTAGGATTTATGCTACAGAAAAAAAATGGAGGACATTCTTTGAATTACAATAATCTACAAGCTAGAAAAACGAAATTATTTTCAACAAAATTAAAATTCAACAGATAAAGGTTTAAGTGTCCCGTTGAAAATATATCTCTGCTGAGGAAGGAGAAAGTTTAAAATTAACAACAGTTGTAAATAAATATAACCTACCTCAGAAGATCTCTCAAATTGAACTCCCATGGTGCTCCAGACTGTCCCCAGAGCTTTCTCTTGACAACCTGGTCCTCCAGCATTTCATTGAAAGTGACCAGGAGGGAGATCAGCTCTCTACCCAACTTAGGGTACAGACACTCACAGATCAGTCTAAATAGACAATCAAAGGATTATAAGAAAAAATGTTTGTGTGATAAGTGTTAATAATTATTGTGTTTTTCTTAACTTCCCCTTCCCCCAAGCCTAAGAATCTCTCAATTATATTGTTTATAAAATTACAGACTTATAGAATTTACCTATAATCATCCGATGTAAGCCCTGTCATGTAAACCTTGCTAAATCTGTTGAGGAAGGATTTGGGTAAACCTTTCCTGTCTCCTCCCTCAGATAACGGGTTCTGACATCCGAATATCCTCGTGTTCTCATTCAGAGGGAAGGTTCGGTCCAGCTCCGGGATATAAACTTCACCACGATGATCAAACACGGCGTTTAATCCTTCAAGAACGGATTGAGACGCGAGATTCAACTCGTCCAGTAGAATCCAGTCTCCGGTTTGTAAAGCATCCAAAAAAGGTCCATTTCTCCATGCAAACTGTCCCACAGCTCCACCCTCAACGGGTAGATCGGACCCGAAGAGATCGCAGATATCTGTTTGATCAGAGAGATTTATTCTCACTATCGGTTGACCGATTTTCTGAGCTAAAGCCTCCACTAAGCTCGTCTTTCCAATACCTGGACTACCCTCAAGAAGAATAGGTTTATTGATCTGCAACGCTCGGAGTATCTTCTGCAGGTTCAAGGTTGTAGTCTGAGATGAGAAAATGTAACTGCATGGTTTCTCCGCTCCACGCTTGATGATAGAGAAGGGTGTGACGGATAATTCTGAGGAGGTTTCCTTTAAACTTGGAATGGCATCTGACATGATGCATCCAGACAGTTCTTTAACCTTCTCCGAACACATGATCTGGAACCGTTTAATAGCAGCGGGATTAGATACTCCGTCCATCTGGAGTCCGTCCAACCAGACAAGATGTGCTCCCTGCATAAACGCTTCAGGAATCCCCAGATACTCAGAGCTAACCTTGTTTATAAAGTTTATCCAGGCGAGGATATCTCTGATACTGACAACTATACTCAGAGCTCCGTTAGTTCGGATCCAGTCTACAAACTTGACAATCTTTTCTCCAACCTTCTCCTGCTGGGCTTCAACCCTGAGATTCTTCTCTGCAATACTGAGTATCTGGTCTGAGCTCTCTATACTAGGACACCAGATCTCAGTAAATCTGTTCTTCAGGGCTGGAGATAATTCTTTCTTTCCATAATCTCCTCCAGGGTTCATAGTTCCAACAAACCTGTACAATCAAAATTAAAATATATTTTAAAACATGCCTGAAGAGATATGAATTGCTTGGGATGAGGAGGGGGGGGGGAGGTGTATATTTTTGCAGGAATAAAAAAAATTTAAAAATAGGGCTTCAACGTACATGGTAAATCTCAAAAATCCTAAAACTCAAAAATACTCATGATTTAAATGAATTAAATTCTAGAGACTCGTCTCCATCAGAAGTGACTCTATTAAATAAAAAATTAGATATGAATGACCTTACAGCTAGCTTGCTTTAGGTGTTTGGGAAAGTTTTATGCTTAAGAAATTCAATACTTCACATAACAAAGTAGCCATAAAATCCTTATTTTATAAATTTTACTATAGCATTTTAAAAATAAAATGCTGTGAATAAAATGCTGTGTTATTTACTAAATACCAAGGGGTTGAGAGTGGGAAGGGTGAAATGTAGATAATCAATGTTAGTGTTAGCTTGATTAATTACCTGAACTGTTTATGAGCTGTGACAACTTCTGTATCCTGAGAATCAATTTTCTCAGCCAGTAAAACTCGTCGTTCCGGTTCAAGGACTGAATTTAGCCTCTCGACCACACTATCGTCCGCCAAACTGATTTCGTCCGCCAGGAAGATTAATCCTCGTCTCATTGCTGACACTAGTGGTCCGTCAGACCAGGAGAAGTTGAGTCCTGACTTAGTCTCTCCGGTTCCTCGATCAGGTCTCAATCCTCCCAAGAAATCCGAGCTTTCTGTATGTCGATGACAATTTAAACTTGCGAGTCCGGTCTCGTTGATCTTTGCCAAAACTTGAACCGCGGTAGTTTTACCGCAACCTGTTTCTCCGACAAGCAGGACGGGTTCCTCGAACCTAAAAGCCTGAGCTAACAACACAGACATTCTTCTCATATCAAATGTCCAGGCAAGACCAGGTATATTAGAGCTCAGCAGTTTCTCTAGTATTGGTTTCGTAACAGTTGACGTGCTCTCATGCAGACTAAATAAATTCTCTGGGTTCACGGTTCTCTTAAACACCTTCTCCAGGATATCAATGACAACCTGAGACTCGTCTGTGTTCCTGATTCTAGCTGCTAGAAGAAGGAAACCCTCCTCCGCGATATGTTGCTCCCAATCATAGAACTTAAGGTTAGATTCTCCTGCTAGTCTGTATCTCTCCGCCCAGCGGAACAAATCTCTAAGAGTGATGAAACCTTCCTTTCCAGCAAACGCCGCGCTGCCCCGCCGATGTTTCTGCAACTCTCCCAAAACTTGGATCATTTTCTTTGCATAGGTTTTGGGTAATCCACACCTATCCTTTAGGATAATTTCTAGCTCGTTATACGGCAACTGATTGAAGTGAAGCTCAACAAACCTATTTTTGAACGCTTTGGATAGAACTTTCCTACCTCCGTACAGTCCAGGAGGGTTCTGTGTTCCGAACAGTCTGAATCCTGGAGCTGCTGTTATGGTTTGCTGTGTTTCAGGGATGTAAAGCTGTCGATTATCATCTAGAACTCTGTTCAGTGCTTCCAGAACATCTGTTGGAGCAAGATTAAGCTCGTCAAGAATAACCCAGGAACCTTGAATCATAGCTTCGGCCAGAACTCCTAGTTTAAAAACAAGCTTCCCAGTCTCATCCGAGGTATAAGAGCCTACATACTCCTGGATATCCGTGTGTTCATGGTTGTTGACTCGGACACACTTGTTTCCCGTCAGCTCAGCCAGGTAGGATATTAAACTAGTCTTTCCTACACTTGTATCTCCCTGGATCAACACAGGATGGTCACACAGAGATACAACTCGAGCTAAATCTCGTAGATTATTGGAAACCTGGGCGGTCATAATATATCTCTCATTCTTATGTGGTTCTCCTTTTCCCTGTCCTATCCAGAACCCTTCGATTTGAAGCCGCGAGCCCGCCACCTGGGCCTCAGGGATGGGTTGGCGTAGCAGTTTTCCGGCATCTTTTCCTCCCAGAACATACTTCTGAAGTAACTCCTTCAAGATTGCATGAGAGTTCAGATCCAACTCAGTCAGGAAGCTTAGAGAAAACCCTTCGTACAAAGATCGTAGAACATTACCACAAGGATTTCTATTTGCAACTCTGAGAGCTCGACACAGAGTTCTTAAACTAAATGTCGGTCTTTCTCCTGTCCCTGTAGTTAACTTGGTTCTAGCCGCAGCTTTAGCCGCCTGGAAGAATGAAACGATGCTTGTAATCTGTTTGGCAGGAAGGGATAATCTCTGTAGATAGTCTGTAACTAGCATGTTTATATCTGATAGGTCGGAGATCTCATCAACATAGAGTTCAGTAAACCTATTCCTCAGACCGGGGGGAAGATCATGTTTGCCAGTATCCGTGGCAGGGTTCATACAAGCAAACAGTCGGAACTCAGGGTGCCGAGGGACAGACTGATAATCTCCTTTCTCATACAGGCACACGCTTCCACCTTGATCCAGGAGTGAGGATAAACACTCCAGAGTCTCCGGGGTCGCCATATTAACCTCGTCCAGGAGTATCCAGTATCCTTCACGTACTGCTGTGGTCAGCAATCCCTCTATAAAAGAGAAAATTGTGGTTTTCTCACTCTGCTTCAAGATTTCAGTAACAGTCTTCAACTCCTTGCTTACCCCTCCCCAGAGTTCTAATAGATCCTTGGATTCAGGGTTTCCCTTCAGCTTTTTAACAGCTGCTTGAAGGGAATGAGACATAAGACTGATAGCGTCCGACCAGCGTCTACCCAGATAGCAGGTGGAGAGATGACTAAGAAACTTACTGTTATCTCCAGAGATAAATGTTAAACCAAACACCTGAACCAACCAACAAATTATATTCGAATTCAAGCATTAAAATTGTATTTCATGAGACATCACAGACGATTGTATTTAATCTTATTTCTTAAATTCATTCATCCCATCTTTTAAAACAAATCCTTTAGAAGACTGTTTTTAAGATGTAATACCAAATTTAACCATAAAATTGTCATAAAAATTGTTCATTTAAGGTAATTAATTTAATTGACTAATTCAGAATCCCCCAATCCTAATACAATGGAGATGTAGTAGAATTAGAACCAAGAGAAATTTAAACCCCGACGGATTCTATGTGAAACCCGAGGGTGTGGTAGTCTAAGGGGTTTATTATCAAATCTTGATGGGTTTTCAATTTAACTGAATATTTAGTTGGTTTCCTTGTTGAACATTTGTAGGATATTATGCATAGTATGGGATATATCTACAGGTTTGTATCCACCCAAGAGGTCGGTACTATCACTCTGCTGGTTCATATTTATCACACGTAATCTCCTTAACAGTTGCAATTTGTTAGTTCGTAATAAGGAAACAAATCCCAAAATCTAATTTGAAGATGTCAAAGTTTTATGTTTTCATTATAAAGTTTTAAATAACTCCAAATTTATATTTTCTAGTGATCATATTTGGATGCGAATACAACTATCAGGGACAGAATTTAATTTGAGCTAGGTCACTGAACTACCTACTGTCGGTTCAAATTTTAATAACCGATTCAAAGGTACATGATTCAAGAGGATTTAAATCCGGGATTCCGGATTTGAACCTGTGTGGTAAGGAGTTATTATATTCGGTCCCAGTACGGATCTATCTTCTATTATAGAAAAAACTAACCTTCCAGTTTGATCTGCCAGGAATTGAACTCCTGCAGTTTTACCAACTCCTGTTTCTCCGACCAGTAGAACAGGTTCTCCGCCCTCCACTGCTCGTCCTACACTCTCAAGTAGAACTGCAGAATGCCTACAAATATTTAAAGTAAAAATATGAAAAGAAAATAACTTTTAACAGACAGATAACAAACAACTTCATAATAAATGTTTTTTCGTACATCATACATTTTGACAAAAATGAAAAATCAATTTATCTGGAGAATATTTTTTAGTTCTTCAGCGACCTATTTTTGACTTTGAAACTCAAACCTTATATCAGCTCTGCAATGCACTGTCTGTAGACAAACCTTAATTCATCTGGCTTCTGGCAACTCAAGAGGGCCAACAGGGCCAGCTTGGCTACGAATCATTTATTTATAATTGATAAAATTTCAAAAGTTTATATTAATCCGCTGAAATAAATATCTAAAAACAGTGTAAAGTGTCGTAAAGAGACTGCAGAAAGCTCCCTAAAATTGAATTCAAGAAACCCCCAAACACCTAAAATTTCGGGGGAACATATCTAAACTAAACCTCCTTCCCTCTACCCCTTCCAATTGTGCAAACAGACGATATGATTATTCAGTGCGACCCTGAATTAATCAAATTGTTAGGTTCCGACCTAAATCTCTAGGTACCTGGTTAGACTGTAGATGGGTGGTACAGCAGAATTAATCAAATTGTTAGGTTCCGACCTAAATCTCTAGGTACCTGGTAAGACTGTAGATGGGAGGTACAGCAGGATTCTCCATTTTCCTGGACAAACTTACTCTACCAACCTAACCAAATATTTATCTAGTTAATCAACTTTAAGAAGCGGTGGAGAAACTTAATTTTATTATTAATGAAAATGGTGATGATATAACTGTAATTCATAAAAAAAAAAATTTGAAAAAAAAGGCTCTACAAGTTCAATATCATAATTTAAGAACCATCTCTTTGACCCTCCCATTCCGTTAACCCTATCTATGCTGGGGTACTTGAAAACCAGGATATGCTGGGGGGGGGGTCAATTTGACCCCCCCCCCAAATCCCAAGTTTGATGTCCAAATATGACAAATGATACATCATTGGAAAGCTCTTGTGCTCTACTTTTAGAATCTGCAAAAAAATTTGCAAATTTGCGAAAATTGAATTTTTTATCGCAAAATCCAGTTTTATAGTAAAAATGTTTGCAAAAAAAAATTTGTCCAAAAAATGACAAATTATACATTTTTGAAAAGCCCTTGACCATGCCATTTCAAATATGCAAAAAAATTTTGCAAAATTTTAAATAACCTGAATTTTAATCAAGAAAAACTAAAAATGTGCAAATTTCTTTTGACAGGATGTTTGCAAAAAATTTGCAATTTTTTTCGCAAAACTTGTGCAATTCGTTTCCTTCTGTCAAAGACTTTCCAAAAAGCTAAATTTTTATCAAAATCTGACAAGTGGAAGTGGGTCAAAACAAAGATCTAGTGTGTTACAGGAAAAAGCAGTCGTTCAGGCAGGACTCAGGCAGTTAGTATTAAAGCCCGGTTTTAGGCCTAAAGGGAGGGCTTTGGGTATGTAAACAAAGTCAGAAAATTTCAACAGCCTCAGACCAATACTTTTTGAGTTATTTAAAAAAACTACAGGGGGGTCAACTTGACCCCCCCCCCCACCAGGAATAGGGTTAAAAACTACAGTTTTAAAAAATCGCCAACCCCTCCCCCCTATGTTATAAGAAGCGCCAGTATTTTTTTAATGATTAATATCGCTGAATTTAGTTTTGTGGGGGTAAATAAATGAGTTTTTGGCGAATAAATGAGATCTGAGCAAGCAAATAGGTCTCCAAAAACTTAAAAAATTCTTTTTTTGGTAAAACTATACCCCTGATTAAGAAATATCATATGTTTAACGAACCTGGAGTGAGTTAGCTGAAAGTGTAACTTGAGGTTTATATTTGTTTGCTAGGTACGCTGCTTCATCCTTGGTTATATTCAGGGTATACGCCAACTCCTCACTATCATTCACAAACTTAATGCCAGTGCCTAGGTACAATGTCAGAGCAGAATAAAAACCACAAACAATCTACAGAATTGAAAGTTTCTCAAACCAAATTCGCAAGGTTTCTTAGATAATGATTTTTGATGAGTATGACATCTGCTTTGGTGCTGCAAACAAAGATTTGGACAACATTTGCTTCAAATAGGTCTTAGGAAAAGTACTAATTGGTTTTCTGAAACGTAGATTACAACTATAAAAACCCTCAAGGACCCTTTCTACAATAAAAGCTTAACCTCCTTTGAATTTTTAAGGTTACCCAACCTCCATAACACGCTTTAATGGATAAAGTTCAAGTCTGTAGATAAGATATTTAGGCTGTGACAAGTATTCTTAATTTTAATGGGATCCGGGAGAAAGATAACTGCGTCCAACATATTATCTGATCGACATTCATTAGCGGGTCAGAAAATTGAACCGGAATTAATAGTTTAAAAAAGACGTTTAGAAGTACCTTAAAAAAAAATTCGCAAAACTTATAGTTTAAAAGTGCCCCAAAATTTTTCTATTTAAAAAAAATAAAAGCCAAATGGCGAAGCAAAAATTTGTAACGCAAGTTTGCTGATGTAAAATTACATTAAAAGGGACACGTAAAAGTATGTATGTGTTCCCTTTAAGTGGCAACATTTTATGGGTTTTAGTTGGGAATGATTCCTGAGCAGATCTCTGGTTTTCTTCTCTGGAATAAATTTACAGAAACAATCCACAGCATCAAGATACAATCTTTCACTAGATCCTTTCTCATCTCCTAAACAATTTTTTGTACAAACTTTAAATTTAACCCATTTACACTCGAATGAATTCCAACCCATTTCACTTTTATCCCGATCATTTAATCCTAAATACTCTAAAGTCTAAAATTCGACTTATTTCAATTCAAGTTTTCCACGCTACTTATCTTATTAACAAATAACTTGGGAACCCAGCTATGTCTGTTAACTAAATTTTCTTTAAAATATTCAACCACCTCAACTTTTAAACCAAGCTAAGAACATTCCGATGGTTGAGTTCCTTAGTTAAAATGTCGGGCAAATCTGTCAATGGGTTCCTGAGTATATGATCGGACATACAAACAAACAGAGATCACTTCTTTATATATAGATAACTAGCTGACGATACCCGTGGAATGAAAAAAAAATTGAAATAAATGCCGCGAAAAAATTTCATCTTAAAAAATTTCAGCCAATTTGGTCGAGTCTTTTGGACAGTTATATCTAACATATAATTATATATATGAGCAAAGAGCTTTATTATATAGATAGATTTATTCATTTTATCTCGATACGAATAAACACCGTTCACTAGAATCATTTAAAACGAGAAATATAGTAGGCTCCTCAATATCTTTGTATACATCAGAAGTGTACTGCAGTTTCTGGGAGAAATGTACACAAACACAGTGTATATCTTCCTCCTAGAAACTGCAGTACAATTCTAAAGTGTTGGTATATTCATTGATTCGACTATGAATCAAACTAGTTTGGGAATCCAGATTTGACTGGAGTTTTCGCTATGAAAATCAACCTCAATTGTTAAACCATTCTAAGAACAATACCCTTGTACTAAATAGTTCACAAATAAACATTTGAGGCAAATCGGTTAAGATCAGACATCCAAACAGACAAACAAGAGATCAATACATTATAAATATCGACATTATCTTTTACCTTTATCCTTACTTATTTCAAATCAAATCATTTTAGTCCTAGAAATTTCAACTCGAAAATATTTACCTTTGTTGATAGAAACTGACGATCTAATGCACCATCGAACAACATCTCGGAGAGAAATTTGTCTCAGATGTTTAAGGTTTAGTCCTGTGCAGTCTTCTCCAACTATCTCATATAATCTAGAATAATATCGTTAAATCTAATCTATCTAAATGGAGAATGGAGGGAGAGAGCATGAAAACCAATGACAAGGAAACAGTAAAAAATGTTTATCCTATGTTTAAATAGTAGTTTCCAAAAATATTTGGTGTAAATACTTTCTTTTAAGTCATTCCCCTTCTCTCTATTTCAAAATTCTATAAATGTTTTAATCGATAGATGGTAAAAAAAATATTAGAGCTATTTGCATTAAATGAATTTTTAGTTCTACTTCAAAACATTCTACAGTTAAAGTTTGCAATTTTCTACAATTCTCAGTAATCATAATTTTATAAACCAGACAGTTAAATCTGTCAGTAAAATTACAAGTATTTACTTGATTATCTTTTCAATAATTAGTTGGAGGGATGGAAATCTTGAAATTATATATTTACCAGATAATCTTTATAATAATTGGTTGGAGGGATGGAAATCTTGAAACTATATATTTACCTGATAATCTTTATAATAATTGGTTGAAAGGATGGAAATCTTGAAACTATATATTTACATGATAATCTTTATAATAATTGGTTGAAGGGATGGAAATCTTGAAAATATATATTTACCAGATAATCTTTATAATAATTGGTTGGAGGGATGGAAATCTTGAAAATATATATTTACCAGATAATCTTTATAATAATTGGTTGGAGGGATGGAAATCTTGAAAATATATATTTACCAGATAATCTTTATAATAATTGGTTGGAGGGATGGAAATCATGTAATTATATATCTACCTGATAATCTTTTCAATAATTGGTTGAAGGGATGGAAATCTTGAAACTATAACTTCTCTCAGTTCATCTTTACTCAACTGAGGAACGGGTATTATCTAAATAGGCGAATTAAAATACTCCATTCCACAATTCGTTTCTTACTTAAATATGCATTATCTTTGTTTTCAGCTCATGAAATTTTAACCAAAATACCAAAAATAATAAATTTTCGCTAAGGAACTGAACTATCATTATACTTAAAAGAAAACGCACAAAATATATTTCAAATGTTTAATTCTTGATTAGTCTTATTCCAAACTTATCTTGGATATATCTGAACCTACCCTAGCTATCTTGTATATATCTGAAGACATGGCTCCTCCTCGCTCCGTCAGAAACAGTTGAAACCCAGTTTTAGGCTCTAGGCTTCCTCCCAGGTTCGGAACAGTAAGTTTACCTAATCAATCAATCAATCAATCAATCAAGTCAAAAAACCCGAGATCTTCACTTGATCACAGTAACCATCCTAACTGAATTACCTGTCTGTACTAGAGATGCTAGTAGAGCTAGAACGTCCTGCTGTGCCCTGTCCACGTCCTCAATGGTTAACCAGTGTCCCAGCTGTACTGCACGTGTGAGAAGACCGGCCTCCCATACAAACTTCCCAGGTATGTCCGTACATCTGGACATATCAAAACTCAAGATCTATGTTATATATTTGGAAGGTTTGTAAAAGAATGAAAAATTAAAGTCTCTTTTCTTCATACTTTAAACCTATAAAAATCATTTATTTCCCCTAAAAATCACAATTTAAAGAGAGAGAGAACAAAAAGACTAAACAAAAAAGTATATGTACTGTAATCGGTGAGGGAAAGAATCATGTTTAAAGGGAGCAATAATTGTTCAAGAGTTAAGTGAATTGTTATGCTAAAAACCGAAATCCCTCTTAGGGGGAATGCCAACTAACGTTGTAACTTATTGAAAATAAAAAGGCTAAAACCTGTTTTACAGATTAATTGTTTATTTTAAATTCAATTTAAAGTTTTCTCCACCTGTAAAGACCCAAGAGCAGCCTGGCATCTGTACTGTCGGATATCTGTAGGGTAAGCAGTTCCTTCTCCTCCCGTCCTGTCAAGTTACCAAGCTCACGGATCAAACTTGTCTTTCCTACTCCAACATCTCCCCGGAGTAGGACGGGTTTACCGGAGCTTACAGCTTCTCCCATACTAACCAAGGCTGCCTAGAAACGTTGAATAGAGGTGAAGAAACTAAAGGGAAATTCTTAATGGAAATCCTAAACGGAAATTGTGAGAAAGACTTAAAATTTAAAGATACAAGTTTTCTAAAACCTCAAGTTACAATAAATGTTATTTAAATAAAAGCAATTTAAAAGCTTTAAAAAAACGTCAGCCTCGATTTGTTCGAAAACTATTATAGAATTTGACTTGAACCGACCTTGGTTGAAGGAACAGGGATAAGGAAGGATGATGTACTCCCAACCCTGGGTAGAGAAACATGATCCAGGCTAACAACACTCTCCTTCTCAATATAATCTAAATAAGATTAAAAACATTATTGAAATTGCCACGGTTATTCAAGATCATGAATAGGAATGTAGAACAACTGGTATCATCTTTATTTTAATCCAATCTTTGTTGAAACGAAAATTCGAAGAAAACCCGCAATAAATCTTATACTTAAGCTGGAATAAAATATTTTCAATAAAAATTGAAAAACATTAGACAATTTTTGAACACTTATTATTACTCATTTTCTAAAATTCAGCGAAATGACCCCAAACATACCTAACATGGAGGGGGTAATAATTTTTCAAGAAAATATACCCTTGGCATTGACTGCTATTCCTATGCAGTTAAACATAAAATATTCGAGATCCATTGTTGACAGTTTTGATCGGAGAAGCAAAATTGTTCATTAATAGAAAAAAAAAACATTAAACTATTTGAATACTTCACCCATTTTCAACACCCCATTAATGTAGTTTTTAGATGAGAAAAAGCCTCAAAATTTTTTAACATGTTTTATTTTTTAGATTTCTTAGCTCTTCTGTTTCTCAAAACTACTGACAACCAAATAGATTATCAAGTACAATAGGTGGCAACAGAGAAATGAATCAATTATACACGACGTCACAAGTGTCAAATATAACAAGGAAAACGAAATTTTCTCACATTAGTTGACATGTTTTCCAAGATTAAATAAAAAAGTGTAAAAACAGAAAATAAAGAACACATATAATCACACTTATTTTACTGGAAGATAAGCACTTTATTCTAAAATTGTCTCCATATTAATATTTTTGTCCGACACAGAAACTGAATTGACACTTGTGACGACAGAATACAGCTGTTCTGAGAGTGTACAAATTCTACGTTGCCATCTATTGTACTAGAATCTATTTGCTGTCGACTATTTCAATTTTTTAAACCCAGCTTCTAGCTTTTACGAATATACAAATAGATAAAAATTAAACATGCTTCTTAATTCTGATAGGACATTGTACAAACCTGACTGATGCTCGAGGTTGGTATCTGAGGCTAGTTTAACAATATCCAGGGTATCCGTAGCATACAGCTTAAACAAAACCCGGCTCCAATCTTTCTCAGGATAAATCTGATTCCTAGAGTTATAATAATTTTCATACAAAGTTTCCCTTCATCAAACAAACATGCACATTTTTTCAATTAGATTTTTTACCATTCTCATAATTAATACATATTTTGTCTTGTCCCGACAAAACTCCTTTAATCACATTTGTCATTTTTAAGTGGAGATTCTGACAGTGGGTCCCTAAAATTGTCAAAATTCCACGTTTGGTGCAGTGTTCCTTTTTTCCCTCACCCTTCAGCAGAGCTAGGAAACATTAATTATGTATAGATCTATATTTAGTAAAGTCATCCACATTCAACAATTTATAAACCTGCTGAGATAGATAATTCCAGAAAACTTGCAAGGATTATTTTATTATTATTATTGTTCAAGGGTTCAATGTCAGCAGCATGAATTTAGAAACATATACTGTGCTAAACTTCCTTGCATCAAACCAGAAATATCACACAGAATTCAAAAAGAAGCAGAGATTAGCAGAACTCTGAACCAATATAGAAACTTTTAGAAAATATAATTCTGTTTATCGCACAACAATAAAAAAGGCCAAGACAAGTTATTCTTCTTCAAAATTTACAGAATACTCAAAAGACATCAAAAAGACCTGGTCTTTACTGAACTCTATTATATCTTCTAAGAAAAAAAGTCATTCAGTTCCTGATATTTTCACTGATGATGAAAAAAGTTTTGTGGGATCTGCTGAAATAGCAGAGGGTTTTAATGACTTTTTTGTGAACATTGGACCCAGATTGTCTAGTTATATTCCGGATTCTAATGTTAATTTTGAAACATATCTGAAGGAGCCATCCAAGGAAAATTTTGTGTTTGCAAATATTACACCAGAAATTATTCTTGAAACAGTGAGTAAACTTAAACCTAAAAACAGTTCAGGTAAGGACAATATTTCTACCAAGCTACTGAAGGAAATAATTGAAAGTATTGTCTATCCTATAGCGCATTTGTTTAACCTTTCTTTTAAAACAGGATATATCCCTAGTGATTATAAATGTGCAAAAATAATTCCTATCTTTAAAACTGAACAAAAAGATAAATTTAATAACTACAGACCAATTAGTATTCTACCAGCGCTAAGTAAACTTCTTGAAAAAATAGCTGCGACTCAAATGTTTAAATATCTTAACAAGTTTGAGATTTTCTATCAACATCAATATGGATTTAGACCACAAC